AAAGAGTACGTAAGTTAAAATTATATATTTATATTAACGACATGCCTAAACTAATCTTATTTTTTCCGCGCACAATCGACTTGTTGAAAGTTTCAGGCTTCCTCGTTAAAACTATCAGTTTAAAAGTAAGAGTGAGAGTGAGAGTGAGAGTGAGAGTGAGAGTGAGAGTGAGAGTGATAGTGATAGTGATAGTGAGAGTGAGAGCGAGAGTGAGAGTGAGAGGGAGAGCGAAAGCGAGAGCGAGAGTGAGAGGGAGTGAGCTGGAGGAGAGAGAGGAGGGAGAGGGGGGGGGAGAGAGAAAGAGAGAGAGAAAAGATAGAGATTAAGGAGTTATGGAGAAAATACTGCGAAGTCAGGCAAATGGTTCCCAAAGCGTTCCTTTGAAAATAAAAGTCAGGAAACTTTTAAAAAAAAAGTATGAGAGTTATACGGAAAATGAGATTCGAATTCTTCATCAAATTTATTTTTCAAGATCTATACTAAATTGCTTACCTATTGGAATTGTGGAAACCAGGAATGGAGTACTAGCAAATATGATCATAGATTCGAAAGAATTGCAATATTGAAAACTCTGCAGGTGTGTATCAAAAATAGTGACAAAGGCCTATGTTGTGTTTGGTTGTGAATCACTGCAGGAGCTGGACAAAACACGATTGTAATCGTAATCTGTAATCTGTCATATAGGCGATACACTTGTTATTGTTATGATAATCACTCACCAATAACAATCGAATGCGAATTTAATTAAACGAAGGGTACAATCATCTTCTATACTCCAGAGCAAATTTGATTTCTTTAATTCTGAGAATGTCGCCAAAGATTATTACACTAGTCGGGGCTTCTCGCAGGAATCCCAAAGGTAAAAGAAGACCACAGTTTGGGAAAATGATATACAGATAATTGAGAGCTTGCACAAAAGAAACATTCGTTGATTACCGAAAAGTGTAAAGCATAAGAACCTTTTCAATCCTGTGTACGTGTACGGGTAAACAAAGATATTTACCTTCAGTACATATTTACAAGTGGAAAAGGTTGTCAGGGCTATTATGTACCTATTTGTAGTTCCAAAATCTATCGCGTTTAGGAGCTACACCCAGAAAATACCCAGCATTTGCGTTTCTTTTTTAATTATGTTAGGAACACGAACAGAAGAATAAAAGTGTGTGCCTTTCTAGGTATACTTTTCTGGGTTTGCTTAAACATTTCCCCGAGATGATTCGCGCCCAACGGGTGTGCAAAAAAGTCCATAAAAATGATTCAGCTAAGAATATTCGAACTGATCAAAAAGTGATCGCCTATGTGCAATTAAGAGGGAGAGTTATATGTTTCTAATGGAGAACAAAAGTACGAGGGAACGAATGTCTCCCGAATTCAAAAAGATATGGAAAACGATGTATGTAATAAGTATAAAATATGGTGCATTTTTTAAATTCTGTTTGACATTTAAGTGTATACTGTCACTTTTTGTCCCGTGTCGCGGAGAAAGAGTGACACTTTAGGCTTCAAAACACGTCGATTTGGTCCACGGAGTACAAAAATGTTTTTTTTATTCTTGTAATTAAATTTTGTTAATTATATTTGTTACATCAAGTATATGGGTAAATACAAAAGAAAACAATAACACTTGATCATGAGACATTTTAACGAAAAAATTAACTGAATCAGAAGGCATATAAAAGTAACTCATAATAACTTCTTTTCTGATTAGCGGATATTAGCAATTCAATGCGCTGTGGATTCCACGTAGGTAGATGTTACACAAGAATGTCAAATATTCAACATAATTAAGCTTGGATCTAATAAGAACAATATTACGTGGGCAGAATGTAAACTGAATTTCGAAACTGCAAACTTCTGAACAGTAACAATATGTTATGTATACAAGTGATCTTCGAAGTAATATACACGTCAAAACTGACCTTATGCAGGTGGCGGAAACGATGCAATGTTTCACTTGTACGATGATATCTAAATTGATGTAACCCAAAAATTCATATTTTAGAAAGTGAGCGATCTATTATTTAAGATTTATTTATAATCATTGTTACAACGGTAGGTGTTCAGCTGTCGCTATTTTTGACCTATCCACAAATTAGGAGCTTTTACAAAATAATGACAAACGAAAAAACCCACCCTAATTATGATAGATATGATTTACTGTCGAAGATCTCATGGCCGATCTCTTCATACTTGACCGTATTATAATAGTCCGGAAACGATGGATGTACATATGTATACTAAATTTTTGCACCGACTTAAGAACAATCAAATAGAATACAATGGTTGTTACAGCACTTACATTGCAAATAGTTAACCTTGCTCTTCAAGTTTAACAATTATTTCATCTCTTCAAAATAATACGCAATAATTATAAATCACCCAACTTTCCAATGAAATTAAGAATGTTGCTACCTATTTCGAAACATCGATTTTCATGGCATTTTGATCTTAAGTTTTTTTGTCATATCTTAATGGAGTATTCACATATTAAGCTACGATCTGTGATTACATTGTGTAACAAACAGCATAGGTAATTGCCTCTAAATACGTTTCCGTGTCGCTTAAAAGGAATAGTTCCAATTTGATGCTCTGCTTAAGATAACTAATTTATTTATAGTGGCTACAAAATTTTATTTCAGTAGGAGGATTTTGGTAATCTTATTGACCAACTGTCTTAGTAAAATACCTATGCTAATCTATCACTGACTTATTGCATAAATGGATTAACCGAGATGAATAAAGCGAATGGACAATTTGAGCGACTTATTTAATTTGCATATTGAAGTAGCAGAGAAAAAAGAATCGTTTCAAAATTATAGGTAGGTAGGTACTTACTATTAACTATTAAATTCAATAATACAAAATTGGATATTCTCTTAGAAGTATACCTACGTAAGTACAATATAGTGCACTCTACAATAATTGGAATAATGGTAAATGTATAGTAGGAGAGCTAGTGGCACATTTTTGTATCAGTCTTATTAGTGTTGATTTTTGGATGTAGAAATATTTGAGTAAGGCCTTTAATAGCGTCCCGCACTCCATTCTTACAGAGAAATTGGAATACCTAAATTTTGGTGAAGATGCGGTGGAATTCCTACGCTCTAAATAACCGTAAACAATATGTAGGTAGTTCACCAATCTGTTAAATCCAACATCTTGCCTGTTAAATATGGAGTTCCACAAGGCTCTATGCTTGGTCCCATTATTTTGTTTATGTACGTTAACGACATACCAACATGTGACATGGCCGCCCACTGGACACTTTTCGCGGATGACAATACGCTAGCGATATTGATAAAAGAGCGTTTGGTCTTACAGAAACACAACTTGGCAGACTGCTGTACAACAGAGCGGAACAACATTCCTCATAGGTTCAAGCAAAATTCTAAGTTTGTTGTTACTTAATGCAGGTAATAATCTTTGTATTTCTTTGTAATTTATTTGTGTTTCATATACAAGACTTTATATTTATTTATAATTTTCAACTTTTGTTTTTTAAATTGACATAGTTTAACCTCCATGCATCACGTATACCGTTAATTTTTATTGTTTTGAAATTGTTTACTTTTGGTGTAAATGTTACTCAATTTATAACTATGTTTTGGTTACATGATCTTGACCTGAAGCTAAATTTATAAATTTTGGTAATTCGTTTAAATATGTAGAAGTTATGGAATTGTTTGGTGTGTGTATTTACTGTTGTTTCTAAACAAGCACCGTGAATGAGGCGATCGCGTTCGCGGGTGTGGCAAATAACTGTAACGACATTAGTTGCGACACCTAACGCCGGAACTGGTCTCGATTCTCGACTGTAGGCTTGAATTCTCTGAACGAAGGACAAGTTACCCATCTTAGGGGCGAAATCCTGCTAACAAAAACTCTTCGGTTTAGAATCTATGTGCGATACATGAGCTGCAATTCACTGATTTCCACATATTTTGTCTTTAGTTTGATTTGACCAGCAAGGCCATATAATTTTCCATCTTGCTTTTAATATAAGGGTTTTATTGCACCAAAGATAAGTCAGCGACTGTACAGCTGACTTGTTTTGTGACGTCCTTGTACTCGAACCAGTTCTTTGTTTTGAAACTTGCTTTTAATCTGTTTTTATATATCATGCTTTGTGTATGTGATTTATATTTATCATGCTTTATTATCAATCAATTATGTGATCAACATGCAAAGACATTCAAAATACGAATTATACTTTTACGCCATTATGTTATTTCCTTTTACGTTCCTTCCCAACCGTACTTCAGGTCATAGCGTTATTCACAATTAACGTAAGGGGGCCCTGTCTTGGATATTTCTTGAAAAATTGCGGGTTCTTCTTCACCTTACAACCCCTTTGGGTAGCAGGCAGTTTCCTGGTCCATACAACCGGAACATTAGTAGTGCCTATTTCACTCTAGTGTCGAGAGCACATTGATAATGACACAGAGGCGTAGCTAGGGTGGGCCAGGAAGAGCACGCGCCGTACAAAAGGGGGCGCTAAAACGCGATAAGAGACAGCGATGTCAAACCTTAGCCAATCGATTTCTACGAGTTCAAGGATCATTGCTATTTGAATATGAGATTCTGATTCTTCGTATCTTGTTTTATGTTAAAGGTGCCTAGTATACGAAGATTTTTTTAATTTTAATGCTTACCCTAGGCGCCATTTGGACATGCTACGCCACTTGAATGACAAAATCCATGAATTGCACGATTGACAATGAAACTGATGTAGGGCAAGGTATACGTACTTTAGAGGTTAAACAAACTGTATTAATGCAGACGAGTATGGATAAACGTCGAAAAAATAATTAATTAATATACCTTGTGAGAATTAAAACACGGTTTGAATATAAAGTGCCTTCAAAACGAATAATTTGTAATTCTGATCTTGGTGGGAGATACATAGTGACTGTCATGTGACAGCCGGCAAGTTTCCCAGCAGGTAAATTTATTTGTTAGTTATTAAGGTCTCTCCAATAAATCCTATCGTTTAAAAATATCCAATAGGGGAATTCCTTGTTCGGTTTACCGCACAATAAAAAAGTCACATGGAAGTTAATGTATTTCTCTATAAGTACAGTTGCGGTACAGATGCAATGTAGTCGAGCACTCTCGTTTTACTTTTAAAATTTAAATCCAAAGATCCATAACTCGTGGTAAGTAAGACAAAATGTACCAAATTAACAATACCCTCAACTGCAGGAGATTATAGAAATCCAATTACGGACTTAACCATTAAAGTGATTGGTCAAGGTAATCATCAACCGGCATTAAAAATAATGAATTCTGGATTTTTTTAAACAAGCGGTTAGTAACGTAATTTATAATTGAAGTAAGTGTAAACAAACAATTAAAATTTGACTATGGACAATAAAAATAGTTTATTTGACTGTTGTTGGGAACAATGGTGAGCTAACAGCCTAAAATATATACAAAAAGCATGCCTCATTTCAGAAACATAGCACGTAAATATGGAGAATAAAGTCGAGAATATGCGGGTATTCTCGCAAGTTGTGGCGGTTATGGTAAAAAACCTACTAATGTTATCAATTGGGATGAGCGTGGGATACGTCGGAATCATAATTCCCGCTTTGACTGACCCAAATTCGAAGGAATCAATTTATATGGACGAGGCACAAACGTCTTGGACCAGTTAGCAGTGAGTTATACCAGCAGACTATACTTACGTATAATTTCAGGTGCCATTATACCACTCGCTTCCTTAATCGGCAGTGCCTTCTCAGGTTCAATTACGGAACCACTCGGCCGAAGAGGTTCCATGATTATACTCACCGTACCATGTGTAATATCGTGGATCAGTTACTATTTGGCCGAGGAGAGTTGGCAAATATTTGCAACCTTAATTCTCCATGGTTTTACCAATGGTCTCGTCAAAGCGCCGGTAAGTCTAATCCTAATGCGTTAATCTTACCAGTTTTTCTAATAGGTTCTCATTTACGTTGCCGAAGTAACGGAACCACGTTTGCGAGGGTTGCTAGCATCAACGACTTTGCTGTCAACGAGTATTGGAATCTTTCTTGCGTTTCTAATAGGCAGTTTACTACACTGGAGAATAGCAGCTTTGGTTTCCTGCACTGTGCCGTTGATAAGCGTATGTTTGCTCTCCAGGCTACCAGAAACACCGTACTGGTTGCTAGCGCAGAACAAGCCAGAGGAAGCGCGTAGAAGTCTGGCGTGGTTAAGAGGCTGGACTTCTGAAGTTAAGGTAGAACAAGAATTTCAACAGATCCAGAAGAATGTTCAAATGCACCCCGCTGGTGTGGACAACCCTGCGTTCGAAGACGACAGTGGCCGAGTGATCCCACTAACCAAATTCATCAACGCGGCACGACCAACGGTTAAAGATCTGGCAAAAAGAAGCTTTTTGCGCCCATTCTCTTTAATGGCCTTCCTTTTCATCTGGTCGAACTTCATTGGTGTAGGAACAACTCAAATTTATAGCGTGGTAATTTTTTCTACATTCAAAGCACCAGTGAATAAGTATTATGCCTCTGTACTAATGAGTTCTGCCCGAGTGTTGGCAAGTATACTGTGCATTTTTGTCGTTCGCTTGTATGGAAAACGTCGAACCGCTATGGTATCATCATTCGCGCTTTGCTTATGCAGTATGTGCATAGGCATCTATGCATACCTTTGTGATGTGACGCAGTTGAATTTTACAAGCGACAGTGCGCCGATACATGAGAATCACACGAACCACGCATGGATTTCATTAGCACTGCTAATTGCCTTCGCTTTTGTTGGCAACTGCGGACCCGCTAATTTACCTTGGACACTAGTAGCGGAAGTATTTTCGAATGAGGCACGTATTATGGGCTGTGGCTTGCTTACCAGTTTTCATTACATATCGTCATTTACAACAAACGTCGTCTATTTGGACATGGTTTCCCAGTTTTCGTTCGCCGGTGTTTATTGGACCTTTGCTTGTATTAGTATTGTTGGATTACTTGTCATTTTTTTCCTATTGCCAGAGACGGATGGACGAAATGATGTTGTTGATCACTTCATAATCCGTTCTGATTTAAGTAATAGCATCAAGAGGAAGTCGGTGGAGTATAGAAACAACGTCATTTCCGGATCCAACATATAATATATAAATAACTAGATAATAATGCTCTTTGTTTTAATAAGATTTGAACACAGATGGCCTGTACAATGTGTTTTGTCAGTGAACTGGGGCGATGAATATTTTTTAAAGAAGAAACTCCTTGGACATTTCACATGTCTGTCAGACACATGGATCGGAAATACCCAGTTTACAATATTGAATTAGCCAATGAAGCAGACAGCTTCGATTTTAGTTTTGCGTCAAATTACATTTCGTGTTTTCCCACTTCAACCAAGAATATCTCAATGAACACGTGACAAATAATAACCAATCTGAAAATGGCAGTGTCTCCTCTGTTACAATAAACGGTGCGTGTATAGGCAAAAATCGTACTGAAAACTCTAAGATATTACACCCGGTATATGATACAGTGATTTTATGCTAACAGTGTGGCCATAAACTGGTAATGTTTTCTATTGGCTGCGCCATGTTCCTCCAGATACATCGGATTGGTAGAAATGAACCTGGAAACCAAAGTGATACATGCACCTTGCAGAAAACAATTCTGAAAATACCATAGCAAAATCTATAATACCATTAACCGATCAGTAATAATAACTTGGAGGAAAGATGGCCGCGGTGACGCTCATGGCGACATTGCCAGCATAAAGCCACTAAAGTCACTGTAGGACACACGGAAAAGAACCGTATGCATTAAACTTTTAGTTTTTCTGTGGTAGTGCGTATTTGATTTCTTTATAATTTAGTTATGTTACTTACAACATTTAACAGCTTTTTTTTATCATTTTCAATCTTATGTTTTTGAAATTGACATGACCTAACCTCAATATTGTATCACGTGTGTGGTAAATGCCGTAAACTTTTATCATTTTTAGTGTAAATGTTTACTCAGTTAGTGGTTACGTTTTGAGTACATGGTCCTGGTCCGAAACGACACATGTTGACGATAAATACGCCTTCTTTGTAACTCAGGAGGAAAAGGTGTTCGTCATACCCATCTGCAAAAACTGTAAAATTCTTCTTACGCTTTGGTCGTCCCATTCCTTTTGGTCATCATAATATAAACCCATCTAAGTATACAAAATTAGGGAAACTCAACACAAGTGAAAGAGTATTGCAACGTATTGCTTTACCTATGTGGCTCTTCATACACTACACTAAAATGTAACGCTCAGATATTACTGTAACGGTAACCCCATTTTCTTAAAAGAAAAGTAGGGACCGATAATGCCAAACGCTCCCACCGCGCAGCAGACTGCAACCTTAAAAAAAATTGTGTTTCCAATAAAGGTTGGAAGATTTGAGGCCCAGAGTTCCTCATCTTATCTGGAGTTTTTATTTCTATTTCTTTCTTCGTAATCACGATATTGCCTACCACGACTAGTGACAGTGTTTGTAATCATCTTTATGATGTAGCTTCTCAAGACTTATAATTTCGTTGGGAAGGTACGTCAATAGAGTGGAATTCTATGTGTGTTTATATTTTGGAGTGGAAGGACTCAATTTACATTAATCCCTTTTCTTTTAAGGCTTGCCCGGTAAAAGGGTAAGAGTTTGGTGTAGTACTGTAGCGACGTCCAGAAACGAACCATCGGTGCTACTTTCGCCCTATCACTTTTTATTTGCTGAGGTGTCCTCATACGTAACAAACTAAACAAATATAGAAAACGAGCTCCTGGGTATGGCTATAGCATGTTCAAAACCAAATTGTAAACCTGATATTAGTTTTGCTTTTATTTAAAGTGTATATGTATGAAATTTCATTTAATTTCTTCCATAAATAAGAAAGTTGGCACTGCACATCCTATACAAAACTAAATTTGGAAAATGGCGCTACACTTGCTCTTATTCCAAATGCCTATGTATCAAATTTCATTTGAATGCCTCCATAAATAAGAAAGTTGGTACTGCGCATGCGCAAAACCAAATTTTGAAACTGGCGTTAAATTTGCTTTTATTCCAAGTGGCTATGTATCGAATTTCATTTAAATACCTTCATAAATAAAAAAAAATTTGCAAATCGAGATGCGAAAAGGGTACTGTGAATATTGATCCATTAGGTTCAATTTTTGGAATTGCGTTTCATATGGCGAAAGCTATACGCATATTAATTTTCATGCAATTCGGTTCATAACTAACGGAGATGTCAAAAGGGCCTTCTTTATCTTTTGGGCTACAATGCCAATTCACGAACTCCGATCTACACATTTGATAAAGAATCCATCTACTAAATTTTATCGTAATCGGTCCATTCGTTATCGAGATATCGTGCTAACGGACGGACAGACGGACAGGCACCGCAAAATTTTAAACTCGCTAGGAGCTCGTTAATAATGCGAGGAGAAGAAAAACAAAAATTTATTTTTTCGAAAAATCATCCACTAATTCTGCCTGTAACAGATGGGCGCTTTAGGCCAGGCTTTAGGCTTTAAAGATTTTTGTCAAATTTACAAAATTACTGGTATAGAAAATTTTATACGTGTACCGCTTCATAATGAAAAAGAACAGAACTTATATTCGAGGAAATAAAGCGCCTTAAGACAAGAAACAAGTGTTCGAGTTTCGAGTAGATAAGAACCGAAACGTCACAGTGTTCCCACAGGATCTCACAGATCTGTATAGTTTCGTTCCGTTATGCGAAAAGTCGAGCACGTGTCGAAAATGCCGGATATATATTGGTTTAGAGGATTTAGATCGTATTAATTTTTAGCCGAATCCTCTGTGCAATTTTACATAGTATGAACGCGAAAGGTTTAGTAGGATGCGTAAAACTTGCGAATCGAAAGCCGTATAACCGCAGTAGGTTTTTTTAACAAGTTTAGCAAACGTGGTTACCTTCCAAATTCGCTGTGAGCTGCCAGTAGAAGTAAATTAATAATACGTGGCTGGTTTATGCAGAAAGAAAACTTCATTGCGTGATAGAGACGATCGGACGGTTACTATAATTTTCAAACAGGAATATTGCGAAGGTTTGCCGTATTAATAAGGATACAAACCTTCTATCGTTTCGGTGCATATTTACGTTAAGATGTTCGCGTTTATATAAATTGTACTGCAAAAGTGTTTGGGTCCAAGGTGCAAAATATTCCGTTGAGCCATATTTTTGTTTATAATAAGGGCAACGAATTTACGAAGAAAACGGCTACCGGTAAAAAGGTTAATGACAATTAATTCAAGCTTTTGTTTGCTGCTAAAACCCTAAATGACAAGGGTGCATTTTTGATAAATATACATTGCGAAAAATCGGTAATCTATTACTGTGGATGACTTGTTCAACTAATTATGTTGCTGCCTTCCAATGGAGAAATGCAGCTCACAATTGGAGAAAACTTTATCTAATCGATAGAACCTTTCAATTTCTGTGTTTTATATTATTAACTCATTTTTATACTCCTGAAGAGGTTGACTCTAACGGTTTTATCCTAGGGTTTATCTCGTGAACAAATTTGACTATACTTTTATTCTTTATGGTAAATTTAGAATTTCAAGTCCAATAATGCCAATCTCTGGTGTGGGTTTTAAAGTTTTGATTTAATATGCAGGAGGTGGTACGACCACTCGACATTCTATAGCAAAGCTTGAACTGCTGTAGGGTGCGACTAAACGGGAACGTGGAGTGGTATATAGTTGTATTGAGTGGTAAATCCCACTCCCCAGGCGTTGGAACAACTCCAGCAAGAACAGATTGCTTGGGAATCGATGCCACAACAGGAGGGGCACACATTATAAAAGAGAATAAATAAATAAAAATCGGTTGTTTTTATTTTAATCAGTCAGTACTATTGGATACTTACAAGTCTCGGACAATATTAGCTAAAACGTTCAAGACTTTCTTGGTGTTGCAATTTTCATGTTAGTATAAAAGATGAAAAATGACAGTAGAAAAAGAAACTACTGATTACTGAGGGTATCAAATTAAAGGAGGGAATGTACATAGTGTAAAATACACAAAGAATTAGTGGATGCTTACCTTGTTGCACCTAATATATTTCAAAATGGTTGTTGCGACGACACATCGACAAAAACACTGGTAAGTTGGTAGAAAAAAGAGCAGTTCCATTCTTTGCCAAATGTGGACTTACAATTGCGAAGTGTCGAAGTCGGAGAGACATTTCTTCAAAAATCAGTAAAAAAAATTCTTTATTATGTTTAATTACAAAAGAGCATTGGGAATTACACCGTTCCACATACTTACTCCTTAATAGAAATGCGGGGGATTACAATCGCGGTCTTTACCGGTTAAAGACGTACTTAGCGAACGCTCTTCCCTATTGAACTATTTTTATTCCTAATTACTATAATATTGAGTTTTCTTTGTGTGCTACATAGTGCAAAACATTCCAAGGAAGTGTTATCCATATAATCGGCTCGCACGCCGCCGGGCGTTGCGATAAACTTTAGAAATTTCGTACCTCCGCGATCTAACCGATGAACTAAGAAAAACCCATTCACTTAAACTAAAAAGTGCAAATAAAATAGCCATGCCCGACAAAACAAACAACATAATTAGTGATCACGTTAGCAATATGCATGTGGACCCAGAGGTAATCGTAGTCGAGCACGGCCAGCTGTCCCAAAGTGATATCCAAAAATCCGCCACGCTAAAACGCATCAACGATACATCGATATCACCACAAGATATTAAAAGGTATGCTCTCGATAATCATTACTTAATAAAACAAAACAAGTACTATTTACCCCCCCAACAAGAAACGGCACTACAAGATAATAATTCAACCTCGCACGACGATAATACAATCACCACACCCGTCAAGATACCGCCTATATTTATTCATGATGCTTCAAATTACAAGCAGGTCATCAATGATATCAAATCAAACGTTAAGAACGGATTCACCATTAATAATAAAGGTTCCCAAATTAAAGTAAACTTAAATACCATCGATGATTACAGAGCGCTCACAGCCTACTATGATAAGGAAGGCAACGTCAAATACCACACGTATCGAAGCCCCGACACCGCCAATCTTTCCGTAATAATTAGGAATCTCCCGACATCAATCACAGACGATGAAATTAAAGAAGAACTACTGCTCAAAAACTTTTCTGTATCTAATGTAACACGCCTACGCAATAAGGACAAACAACCTATTCCTATTTGTGCAGTACTCCTGGCCAAAGAAGAAAAATCTAACTCCATATTCCAACTAGAAACCTTATACCACTGCAGAATAATAGTTGAGCCGAGACGGGGAGGCAGTGGCATACCTCAGTGTACACGCTGCCAGCGTTACACCCACACGAGGAACTATTGCAAGTTACCCCCAAGGTGCGTCAAATGCCTAGGGGATCACCATTACTCCGAGTGTACCAAACATCGGGAAGAAAAACCGCGCTGCGTCAACTGCGAAGGAGAACATACAGCCAACTTCAAAGGGTGCCCACATTACCAACAACTAATCAGCAACAAAAACCTAAACCAGTCTAATAACCGAAACATTGCCAAAAACCATCCAAATACCGGCAGATACACTTCCCCACACACGAGCTATGCCCAACTGTTTCACAACAAAAACACCATAACCTCAAACGCCAACACGAATGATAACAGCAAACCTAACCCCAACACATCATCCACAATAGTCGAAACCATACTTCAAGCTATAATTCAGGTAATTACACCACACCTCAACCAAATAAAAAATTTTATTATGTCCTTAATCCCCTCATTATTCCAAAATGGATCCCAACCATAAACATAATCTTAATAATTTACTCATCACAAACTACAACGCAGATGGAATAACTAGGCAAAGATCTAGTATTATCGTATTTTTATCACAGCATAACGTCGATATCAAATGTGTTTCTGAAACCCATTTAACCAACGAACAAATCCTAAAAATTCCGGGCTACAATATCTACCGTAATGACCGTCAAAGCAATACAGCATCTGGAGGCGTCGCCATCATTTATAAGAAAAATATTACCGCGCACCAATTGGATTTACCAAAGACTAACACCATCGAAACTGTAGCAATCCAGGTCGAACTCCAAAACCAACAAAAACTTAAAATAATAGCCGCCTACAAACAACCAAACAAAAAAATCGCAGCCAACGACCTGCAGAACATCTTCAACGACAACACCCCAACACTACTAATAGGCGACTTAAACTGTAAAAATACAATATGGGGCTGTAGAGCGACGAATCCAGATGGCGCAAGACTTTATCAATCTCTTACAACGCATGGCATCCAGATATCACCACCTCCCGAAGCAACACATATTCCGTACAGAGCCGACCATAAGGAAGACATCCTAGATATTGTTCTGCACAAAAATTTCGCTGCTCCAATCACCCAAACTGTGCTAACAGAACTTGATTCCGACCACCTACCGGTACTAATATACTTCGCAAGGCAACCCAAAATTTCACAAGGCCTTCCTAAACTTATAAACGGTAAGGTCGACTGGAAAATGTTTAATGAAACAATGCAGCAAAACCTAACATGTCCTACCGCTTTGAGAAACAGCGGAAACATTGATAAAGCTCTAGACCACCTAATAAATGCAATAAAAATATCAATTACAGCTTCAACCACGGTCCAAAAAAGCAAAAATAAAAGGAATCACTATACACCGCCACTGGGGATACTAAACCTGATCAGTGAAAAGCATAAACTGAAAAGAATATGGGTTACAACAAGAAATGAACAAATAAAACCACACCTCAACTACCTAGTCGCCAAATAAAAAAGCAGCTCGACCAACTAAGAATCAATAACTATGCCAAATACATTAGTGAACTTGAACCGCGGGACCCATCGATGTGGCGCGCGACGAGACGTATCCTCAACCAATATTCCCCAATTCCAGTCATCAAATCCGACAACAAAACTTACTCATCAAATGAAGAGAAATGCGAAATATTTGCTATAACCTTAGCCCAAACATTCTCCACATCATGCAGCAAGCCCACCAATCTAAATACCCAACAAGTGAATGATTACGTAAACAACAACATACCGGCGCACTCAAACGCTTCGATAATTCCGGTTACACCGGCCGAGATAAAGCAAATCATCAACAAACTACCAACCAAGAGAGCTCCTGGGGCCGACCTTATCCCCAACTGTCTACTGAAGGGCCTACCGATGAAAGCATTAGTTTATCTGACTTCCTTGTTCAACGGTTGCTTGAGAATAGGGTATTTCCCAGACCAATGGAAATACGCACACGTCCGTCTCTTCCACAAGCCTGGGAAAAAACAAAATGACCCTACCGGATATAGACCCATATTAGCCTACTATCAACACTGTCCAAAGTTTTCGAGAAAACAATACATTCAAGGCTTGTACAACACGTCTCTGTAAATGATGTAATACCCAAATTCCAATTTGGATTTCGCAATAACTATTCCACAGTCCAACAGCTGACCAGAATTACTGAACTTATAGAACATGGGTTCGAGAACAAACTTTACACGGTGGCCGCGTTCTTGGAGATTAAGCAAGCTTTTGACAGGGTGTGGCACAATGGATTAATTTATAAACTAATGCAAATTCAAGTACCTCCGTACTTACTACTTACAATAAAATCATTTCTAACCAAGCGCTCCTTCTCAACCGTAATCAACAACCACATATCCGAACCCAAACTTATTGAAGCAGGCGTCCCTCAGGGCTCAATACTGGCCCCAATTCTCTTCAATATTTATATGCACGACATCCCGGAAGTTGAAAATTCAAGCCTTGCAATGTTCGCAGATGATACGGCTATAATCAGTCAGCATAGTGACCTCGCCGCCGCAGTGTCGCAATTACAGAATAGTATCAACGCAGTAGCGAACTGGTTCAGCACTTGGCACCTTAACTTAAACCCGTCCAAGTCAAAGGCAAAAATTTTCACACTAAAACGGATCAACAATCCGCCATACATAACAGTTAACAATGAGAATATTCCGTGGAACCCAGATGACCGAGCCGTGAAATACCTAGGCATACACCTTGACAAACGATTAAGTTGGGGGAACCACATCAACAAGAAACTCAACGAAGCCCATACCCGCCTAGTCCAACTCTACCCAATCATCAACAAAAATTCACCGTTAAAAATACCATGTGGGACACTGATATATACCTCTGTTATCAGACCTCTACTAACATATGGCTGCCCAGTATGGTGCAACGCAAGACCCACACACCTTAAGAAGATCCAAACCTTTCAAAATAAGGTCCTCCGAATGGTGCTCAACGCGCCATGGTATATAAGGAACCAGCAAATCCATCGCGAAACCAGCGTTCCAATGCTCAACGAAGTCTACAAAAACATGTCTAAACGCTACTTTAGCAATCTGCCAAGCTGGCCGGCCACCAAAAACTACCCAATCGGAAGAAGAAACATTCATCGACGCCTGAAGCGCAAGCTGCCACAAGACATTATGTTAAACAGTTCAAGTGACAATGAATGAATCTATAAATTAATTAAATAATTTTCCAAATTTTTAGTTATGGGCTAACTACCCTCTAGTGCCTAAAACACGTGACAAGTAACTGTCCAAACAGCCGAGCAAAGTAGACTCTTACTGAACGGGCTTAATTATACTTAAAAAAAAAAAGAAATGCGGGAATTCCCAATTTGTTTGATAATTGACTTATATTGCACTAGCTTAACTAAAGTGTTCCAGAATCACTTTAGTCATCTTTTACAAAAACCGACAGGAAGCGTTTAAGTAAATACCATGGCACTGGTACCCACGGTCCACTGACATCCACACACCATTCCCACAAAAAAACGATTATGATGACTACATCTTTGAAGTACTTACCTGCGCAAACGATAAAACTCGAAATAAAAATGGTACCTTCTACGAACTAGACGTAAACGGGATTTCTGTTACAACAGGAATATCAACCAACACGCTGATAGTTCCACTTGACCTTATGAAATATTTATAAGTGACGTTGCGAGTAATCGCACAAAAACAAGTTTATTTACACTGTAAATTAGTACCTGCTAATTTATCCTTCGACGGGCAACAATGTTAAGTTATGCTTTCATAACTGCTGTGTGCTGTGCTATCGACTTAAGTGCCACATTTTCTGTGGAAACGAATTATGAACCAGGTGAGGAGACATTGTTTAATCGTATGACGCCTTGACATTGAGATAATCTCAGGATACTACTGGAGGGAATTTAATGGAAAAATTCCGCAAGATGCTTTGCCGGGAGGTGTCAATTCTCAAGGAGTAACAACTTACATCGGACAAGTGTTTGGAAATAATTTAGTTATTCCTGCTAAAATTGATATTGTGAATGATACGGTGACCTATGAATGGGGATACCAGGAGTTCGTCGCTACTGAAAATATCAAGGTAAGTTAATCTCTAAGATTCTCTTCCTCAAACGCGATTGTTCTAAATTGGGAGTTACTTTTTGGAATGCTATTACGGCACCCCGTCGTGGTTTTTTGAATGTTGGCTAGGATCTCCGTACGCTTTCCTTTTTACCCTTGGGAACAAGGACAGCTCTGTCGGGGTTACATCGGAACTATATGGGGGATGTGGTACCGTTCATACTCCCATCCGGGTCAGATAGGAGTTGACAACGCAGGCGGTGTGATTCGGCGCGTTGTCATGGTGGAGACCCCATGACGACTGGATTTCTGATTGGACGCGGATGACTCTGTGATCGAGTCTTTTGAACTTTGTAGAAGTCCTTGTTGACGATCTACCCAGGTGGCTCAAACTCGTGGTGCACGATTGCCTTAGCGTCGACGAACACGATGACCATGGACTCATCGTAGGCTGATTCTTGCTTTCTTAATTCTGACGGGATGACGCGGTCGTGTGATACTCCGTATTCTGCTGCATTTTCGTCCACGGATCTTATTCAAAGACCCATGACTTATATACTGTGATGAAGTTGTCAAAGAAATTTGGGACCTCCTCTCAGAGTTCAACCAGATCATTGCACACTGCTGTTTTTGAGCGTCGGACAAGACAAATTTCGCGCGCAAGTATTCTGAAACAATTCGATTAAGATCTGTTTTCGGAAAATTTAGATGGTCTGACGTCAAACTGGCCTGAGTGAGCAAATCAAACGTTTCCTTCGCCGTGTTTTGGAGTTTAACGTAACATTTTATCGCATGGCATGGGTCCAAAGTTATCTCCATCCTAACCACGACGAGACTCTGCGCGGAGGTTTACTAAAAATGACGTCTCATGCGGCTAACCTCGAGAAGGGAAAGGGAATTTGCCACGGCTAGCCATGGGAAACGGGTCTTCCAGTGAAACAATGAATTAATTGGCAATTCTAGACAGGTTACACTAAACTAAGGGCAAATTTTCAGCACAGCTAATTAGAGATTATTACTTAATAAGGTATACATTCCAGAACTGAATTACGTCGCGTTAACAATAATGACAAAATCAAAGATAAAGGAAAAGACACTTTATAGTTACGTATGCATCCGCAACATTTGTATTCAAAATATCAATTGCAGCGCCATTTATCACGACATTGGCAAAGATAAACTGCAAGATAAACTAACGGTAAAAGTAATTACCTACAGTAGGTTACCTGCGCGTTTGCAATTTCCCGAATTTAAGATAAACATATGCGTAGCGATCCTTCGATCTTAGGTATAGCAATCTCCAATTCGAAAGTTAGTGTTTGCATCTCAACCAAAACACAGTACTTCTTCAGTGCGATCACCCCAATGCTAACGTACAAAGAAAAATTATCCAAAAACTACATGTAGTTGACAAATCAGACCCAATTCCAATTAATTCAAACTTACGGACTCAATTAATAAATGGGTTTCGGATTGCGATATAGCCACTTCCCATTCACGCAAAGTCGATTAGATAATTAATTTAAACAATTTGAGCTTGACCTTTGTAGCAAAGAAGCTACGGAAAATTTACATCTCTGTCCAATGATCTATGTTTACTGTAAACTAACCGACGGCATTTTTTCAGATATTATGTGCCAAATATCCGGAAGAATTTCAATGGCTTAGTACTGGCCATGGTTATATCAACCAATTAAAAGGAAAACACTTAATCATCGGTGGATACGAATCGGGTGCTAATATTTACATTGGTCGAATACAACTAGATGACGAACTTGCTCTCGGCAAAGTTATCAACGGTTCAAACCAAGCAACATTGAACACAACGAAGGATGGTAAAGGAACTCAGCATGCAGCCTTTCAAGTACTTTCCTATAATCCCATCGCATCCACTAGAAAACAATCAAGCGACTGTCAGGTTGTCATCAACGTATACTAACAAAACCTAATTTATTTTAAATTTAATTATATATTATTATTTCAATTATTTTAGCAAATATATTAAAGAAGTTGTATATTACCGTAAATTGGTGGCAATAATATTCCATTTCTGTATAGGCGAACTACGGTAAAGAACTAGTTACCAGCTCAGTTGATTCCCACTGGAGGGTTCATGTCCACAAGCCGTCGCGCCAGTTTCCATCGAAATTGGGATAAATCTTACAACCCAGTAGGTACACAAAACCTTGTGAATGAATACTGCACTCATATAGGCACTTGGCCTATGAAAGTAATGCATGGCCCTCATCAAACATGTCACTTTTAGCACCTGCATTACCTTACGTTTAGGGTGTGGTGTTCTGTGTCCCCATAAATGCATTTGCTACCCAACACACCAAAAATTTAGAAATTGTTCAAAAAGCGTTGGCGATCAAAGCCCCAGGAAGTGCAACCGAGTGTAAGCATGTGGACCTCACTGACGTCAAATATTGCCTTTTTGAGATTTTTGCAGATATTGGCAACTTGGCGTACAGCCGTAAAGAAAGCAAACATTTTTTTAAATAATTGGTTCAAAACTTAATCAAGTGTCGAGAGTTACAGACAATCAAGACTATGGTGGAATTCACATTGAGATGGAAGTACACGAGTCATTGTCCTATTGAGCTGCGAAGCCCACCTTTATTGAATTACATTTAACATACTGGAGTAAGAAAATCATCATTCCATTCATAAAAGACAAATTTGCATCACCATTTATTAAAGGAATCTGCTATCAGCATAGTTATCAACGGTTGAATGCAAGTATCACTAACAACAAAATATGCGAAAGTAACTCAGCCTCTCAGACCAATCTAATAGTCACAACCACCAGAAGAAAATCTAACTATAACCAAGTGGTCAAAATTGTCTATTAGCAAAACTTATTTTATGTTCAATTTTGTACATCTTCACAACAATTTTAAAGAATGTGCTGAAAACTACACTAATAGTCTAGTATCACTAGTACCACAGAGAAGTATATCTGTGCTAGTACCAATTCATGTTTAGTGTTCCATCCATTTCACTCATACCTTATAAAATCACTGAAACTAAAGTCAATATCACAATAAAATCCTGTGATGACGTTCCTTCTATCACATGCTTTAGTTGTTGGCGTTGGCCAAACTGGTTAGCGCCTCTGCGGCATCCAGCTCTTCCTTGTCGTGGGTCTCTTCACTTTTTGCGCTCTTTTTCGTTTTTCTCCTTTGTGAATTCATGAGCGTCCAATTTAAGTAATTGTTCTCGCTAGGTTTAAAATTTTCGGCGCTTTCCAACCACCTGGAAATCATGGAGGGCTTATTAACATCGTCTTCTAGGAAACCCTCCCCGTAATTGTCAGGCTTTTGACAATCGCGCAGGTACTTTTCTATTATATGATTCTTGTATTTGTTAGTGTTTTGCGCGAATGGGTTGTACCTCTCCTCTTCTTCGTATGATAGGCAATTATTATTGTGCAATTGTATTTGGTCGAAAAGTAACTGACTCTTTTTATCGGTGTAAGATTTAAAATTTACCGCATTTATTTCAGACACTAGTTGATTCACATCGTACTTCTGGAGATCTTTGTTGGCAGTCAGTTCCGGTTCTTCCCAAATACTGTCCTCGGAACAAATGCTGAAGTGCTCAACGTTTCCTTGAACTTGCCTGTTGTAGGATTTTATTAAGTAACCCCAGGATTTTCTCTGTGGTTCGGAACCAGAATTTTTGAGCTTCCGCCTCCAATTCGCAAACCAGTTGCAGACCTGCAAATTAAAATATAAGTTGGCATCTACGAAATATGTATAATGAATCTATTAACAGTTCATTTTAATAAAACTTCAGACGAATGGATCTACGTTCGGTATGGCTAATTTGGAAAATCGTGTGTATTTGTGGACTGCATTGATAAAATAGAGGAGTCAAAACTTCCCATTTTGCGCAAGCCTCAATTAGTGCTTAGTGTGTAACATGTGGTCGCTTAGAAAGAATTGCTTTCGAATCTACAAATTTGCCAGTATAGGAAATTTTATACGTGTACCGCTTCATAGTGACAAAGGACGGAACTAAAATGCAATAGTATGAAGCTCTTTCAAATAAGAAGCAAGTATGCGAGCAGATAAGATTCAAAACGCCACAATGTTGCCGGCTCTAAAAATCGCTCTTACAGACCATGAAGGACGGACTTTCGTCTATACCCTTACATGTATAAAAAAACGTGGCCAAAGTTTGGTTTGCGTCGGGTCCGTTTCTGTTATTCAATTGGGCGACTACATTAGAAAAAATTGGGTGGGAGAGCGAGAGAGAGGTTCTTGGCCGAACCTGGCGAACCCACACATTTTGTCCAAGATAACGGTGTCTATCATGGGAATGTACAAGATACGACGATAGTCAAATTAAAGAAATACTTTAAAGAAAACCAGAAAACTTCGATTACTTCCGAAAATATACCAGAAAACACCTAAATTTGCTACCGATTTCGTTTTTGTGGTTTTCTGATATTTGAAGAGATACAAAAAGATAAGAAACTTTGTAAGCTCTACAAGACACCGTTGGAAGATTTTTAATCCGTTTCGTTTCGAAAAAATCATCAACTTAAATTTTTAGCGCATTATTTAAGAATCAAAAAAAATGTGCTATTGTTTGCGTTTTGTCCGTCCGTCCGTCCGGACCAACTTCTACCGTTTTGAACTACTTCTAGGGGAATGGTCTTAGAGTCCTGGAATTTTTTGAAGTAGGTAGCCTATACCTTGAAGGTGTGCCAGACTGCCATCAAATATCGCTATCTAAAAGGGGGACCCTCCCACGAATTATTCCCTGAGATGCTGTTTTTGAAAGTAAAACGTGCATAACTTTAAATACGACAACCAATTGGTCTCAGATTTTGCATACGCATGCCTTTGGTGGTGCCAAGTTAAACTTTAAAAAAAAAGGGGGGGGGGTTAAACACATGTTCTACTCTTCATGGTATTCTAATGAAAGGTCTCATCATAAATTGGTTTGTACAAACTATAACTTTCCCGTGCGCCTTTTTTTCGAGATCAGTGAGCGACGGGGCCTAAGGGGGGGGGGGGGGGAAAAAATTAATTTATTCTCTCATTGTATTCTGGATTAAAGTCCTCACACGAAAGGAACAGTTTTCTACAAACTACTGCCCTTCTTTCTGTCCTCTTATCAAAGTACGGGGTGGAGGGGGAGGGGGGTGGAACTAGTAGTTATCCTTCATGGTACTTTAATGAAAGGTCTCAACGAAAGGAATAAATTTATACTAACCATAGTCTTCTTCCTGGATCCTTTGTCGTGATCGGTTATAATTCCTTATATCTTAAGAGTGAATTATCAAAGGAAAGTACCTACAAAAGGTGGATTGGGACGTTTGGAAGAAATATAACAATTGGGCATTTAAACAAAATTTGACACATAGCCACTTGGAATAAAACCAAATTGAACGTCAGTTTCAAAATTTCGTTTTGCCCATGCGCAGTGCCAACTTTCCTATTTATGTAGGGATTTAAATGGACTTTGATACATAGCCACTTGGAATAAAAGCAAATGTAGCGCCATTTTCCAAATTTGGTTTTGTGTAAGATGTGCAGTGCCAACTTTCTTATTTATGAAAGAAATTTCGTAGGGGTTAAAAAAAATGCGCTTTAGCTGCACAAGATTTGTGCACAATTTGTACTTGTTTATATTGCCCGTAGAAAAAAATAAAATCGAAATCGGCAAATCGGCGACCCTCGATTTATTTGGAAAAAGTGCTTGTCTTGATCCCCTCTATCACCCAATTTTTTTTTCATACGGTCATGTAACACCCTGTATAATTTGTTCTGAAAAGGATTACAGATTCGACAAAACATTATCAAGACCCCTTATCTACATTCTCAAAAAAACTACAATCTTGTTGGTGATGCTGTCATTTATATCCCATTTGGGGGATTGAGTACCTAGGTCTAAAATTTTGTATTGGTTCCTCTAATTTTATAACTTCAACATAGGATCTGGGTAGAATGATGGTTCAAATTTGAAAAACCACATGAATTCACAGATGATGAGCAGCCGGTTTGGGATCAATATAAGAAACATCCCCAAGGGTTTAACACGTTTTACGAAGCGGAGCAGCATTATAATCACCTATTCAACCTTATGGAAGTGGATTAACCCGGGTAAAAACTTCATTTCTTGCAAATTTTTACCCAAGTTTTTCTGATTTTATAATTTTTTCTGCACAAGATGACCTTAGACGAGATTGAGAAAAAATTTGATCTGGACCAAATATAGTATACGGCAATATTTTAATATAGGTACAAATAAAAACAAATTACAATTTTTAACCAATTTGAACTACAACCGTTCCACAACGCATAAATCGTAAAATTTTAGATTATTATGATAGGACACATCATCGTGAAAATGTATTTACCCAATATTCGAAGAACTTAAAAAGGACCAATAATACAAAATATTTCGTCTACACTTGGTCATTTTTGTGCAGGATAGATTTTTTTACAATCGTAGCTTGAAGGTCCTCCAGGCTAGTGTTTCAAAAATATAAATTGGGTTTTATTTTTTGCATGGTTAGGTGACCTGTCCAAAAATTAATTTATGAAATAAATCAACCATTGAAAGAAGGGTGCAAATAAAACATTTTTTTATGCATGTTAACTTTTTCAGGTACCTACCTGAATGTATGTTAGACCAGTTTGAACAGCCAAAGTTTTCTTCTCGTCTCGATTTGGATATGGATTGTCTCTTCGCCTCACCAACCAATCTTTCAAAAACCTCTTGATTTCGGGAGTGAAGAGCCTTTTCGGCGGTCTTTTATCTTCTGAAAAGCCTCTTCTGAAATATGCGTTAGATGCACTATTTTACAACAATATGCGGAAGGGTATTTTTCATTTACAGCTTCGACCCACCTACCTGTTGTATCGTTTATTCCTTATTGATCTACGTGACCGTTCTTTCATCGTGTCCGTAAACCGTTGATCCATCTCTGATTATAAATACACAAAAATTCATACGTTAAAAGAAATTGTGTAAAAATAGAATAACATGATCTCATGTTAGGTAAGAGCAAGAAACAAGATGGTGCTGCCAAACATTACGTGTAATTCGATTAAATGGAGCCGATCAGGCAAATTTCGTGGCAAATTTCATCGTAATACTGCACTTTTACTTCTATCCGAATAACTCACTTTAAATTTTAAGATAATTTTTTGCTAATTAAGGGTTAGTGTAAAAAACAGGATTAGTAATGGGATGATTCATAAAAACATGGTCATGTTTTATTCAATTATTATTACAATTAGTGGCCAATTTGATAAACACATTTGCATCAAGCATGCAATTGAGGACTCGGATGTAACTTACATGCAAATTTGATTTTAAATGTAAACAATCACTTACACCTATTAAGTTTGCACTGATTCTGAATAACAACTACCAATCTGGGGACATCTAACTGCAAGCGTTTTATTTTGAGAGCGTCTCCTGCGTCGTCTTTTTTATAATTGTTCCATTTCATTATTTTAAGACGTATCAACACATGATTTGTTCTATAATAACATGGATCTCTTTCCTATGGACAGTTTTCTCTGAAGATTTTACCAGGATCCCTTATTGCTTGATAAGAACGTCATTATTATTACCTGCATCAATGACACAATTAATTTGCTTCATAGATTTGAGAAAAATTACGTGGGGTTTGACTAACTTCTGAATTTCTTTCAGGGTAGGTACTACTAGGTATGTTTTGTCATTAATGTAAACCAATAGTGTCATGAATTATTAGATTTAAACACCTAACGACACATTCTATTAATACAATTTACCTACATCAAAAATGTAATGTTACTATTCCTGAAATGTGTGGATGCACACAATTAGCATCTTGAATTTTTGTGATACATTTGTACTTACTTATTTCACATGATTCATCCGTTCTTACTCATTGTATTTCACTACAGTAAGTATGCATTGGTCTTCTGGTGTTGTGGAATTTCGCAGTCCAGAAAGTCAGAAATTAATGTTTACTGTCAGTAGCTTCCTCTTTGCCCATAATCGATTCGGAATCCTTGCAAAAATGGAAAAAAATTCAAGGCCAACATCGCGTTGGTCGCATTTTCCATAATATAGAATTAGGAGACATTTATTTTTGGGCTTCAACTTTTGTCGCGAAAATGTCGTGGACTTTGCATGAGCTGTCGATTACTACTCACGATGACCGTCTGGCGTTATTCCTTTTTATCGTGGTGTAATATGCAACGGAAGCACCGTGAAATGCAAATCATTTGTAAAACGAGCGTTCACTTTAAACAATTTTTACTCTGCTTTCGAAATACTTCCTATTTTGACAATAATTCGAGTAATCTCTAAATAATAAATGGTAATTTTTGCAATCCTCAAGAATGCAAATACACATACAAGAGTATTGGCTTCACTAAGAGCACCTGCGCCAAACATACTTCCACTGTTGACAGGTGCCCGTCCGGACCGCCACGGAAGAAACCGATTTCCAGACCACCATTAAAGACAACTTGAAGGATATAGAAAATCAAGGAAGCGTGAAAAGAGTGGCCCTCGATGTGTGGAACTGGGAACATTTGAAGAGTGCATGCAAAAACGTCCCAGGAACCCAGACCATCTACTGACTTTTCGGAAAAATAAGCAGTATCTATGCCCTATGGGATGGGGCAATCGTCCATCCGTATCAGCAAGCCCCCAGCCAGTACTGTAACTGTAGCAACATTTTATGCTGATTGCTGAATCCCAGAGCATCTTTATTGATGGGTTTATTAATGGAAACCCCATGAGTATGTCGTCATCACTCGATGAAGTATAGAAATCTATCTCCAGAAATCTTTCTTTATCTTGAGTACGTCATTGTCACGTGAATTTAAGTTCTATTTTGTTCTGATAGCTCAACTGGCATCCGATTTCAAACGAAATTTGGGAGACATTGAGAAGAGTGTCCCCAGGGTCTCATTCAACGATCTGATAGTAGGCCACCTCTTCTTTGCAAGAATAATAGGATTGACGTATAGAGAGCGAATTCCAGAAAGCGGCCTTTAGGGGGTAGGGTCAAGTAAATCTCGCGCCAAAACCTAGGGCGGTGTCTGGGCCGTTTGTTAAGAAGAAGAGCACGAGTTCTGGAGCACCCAAAGTTGCGGGTTCGCCACGAACCTATGAGCCAGTCACTGCGGCGAGGGTGAGGGTAGACATTGTTCCGGTGAGGACCTGAGGACCTTGGGCTGGCTGGAGAGGACCGTCTCCCTTATAAAGTTAGGGGCGGGGACTCTATCAATTCCGAGACACGTCCCTAAGGTAATCAAGGTAATGCTCGGTCGCTTCATGCGTGTTTCCGGATGACAGGGATACGATCTTGAAGCTCATCCAGAAGCAAAATCTTGGTTTCTGAACGTATTTCTGGAGGACATTCTTCCTCGTAAATAAATTATTTACTCTATGCCTGGGTGATGCATGTCTCCTAGAAACACACTTTCTAGGCTCTGCGGACTACATAACTTTGAAACCACCAAAAGGAGCTACCCGCAGTTGTGTACCGTGCAGGAGGGCCATCAGCCTATCCTCGTTTCTTCTAAAAGCGGTAGAACGCTGGTGGACGAATACATATAGAATTAGATGCTTGTCACTACAACCATTATCCAGCATACATACAAGCCCGGCATGTCCACGGAGACGGCTATTCACAGCCTGCAGACTGGAGAGGGAATGCGAAGAGCCCTTGGGCAGGTGAAGAGGTGGTGCATTTGCCATGCCTTTTCCGTTAACCCGGAAATGAAGTTTCACGAATAGAAGGAGAGCGGACTCGCCCTTCGAGGATGCCAAGTGGGTCTGACCAAGCCAGTGAAATATTTGGGAGTCATGGTATACTCCCGTCTGACCTGGAATGGGCACATTGGAATAAGTCTAAAGGCTGTATATGGGTCTTGAATCCTCGGCGTAGATTGACTTTACAGGGAAACCTACAGGAAGTAACTAAGTATGCTACAGAGACTTGCTGTTTAGGGGCCACTGGCACCATGAAAACTACCCAACTTTTGCCATAGAGGCACTTCTGGAACTATATATTTTCTCTCTTTGTCTTTGTCACATGTGATTTGGCAACGTTACGTCGTTTAAAATTTATTTTATTATGAAATGTGTGGTTTTTGTATCAGTGGAAATTTTGTAGTTTCAGCCATCCAGAGCTATAATTTGAAATTTGAAAAAATATGACATTGGGCGAAGGTCAATAAAAAATTAATTTTTTCGATAAAGTACGTACCTAGAAAATTGTGTGATACCGAAGGAGGTTTTAGTCTATACCTCAATAAAAAAGATTAACTGCCGTCACGATTTTTCCTCCAACAAACGGTCAAATTTTGAAGATTTTGAAGATTTTAAAACAGCGAAATCGCTAAAGTTAAAGGTATAGGTAATATGTGTTACAGAGTGGCCGACTGAAAACAGTCAATGCCAATTTTACCAACTTAACGACAATTATGCCAGAAACGCTCGAACACGTCAATTTTAGTTTTGAGGGGGACACCTAAATTAGGTAAGTAATACTACTTACATAACTTTAACCCTGAGAAGGAGGTGAATTGCACCCCAAAGGGGTAGAAAATGTTAGATAGGTCGAAACGAATTTTCCTTATGTTTTCAGAACTGTTTTTATTTTTCAAATCCGTTCAGTAGTTCCAGAGAAAACTCGATTTAAATAGGATTTTCAGAGCCGTTTTAAATGTTTATTAAGTAGACGTTGAAGTTGAAATAATTGAGAGCTTGTGTCAGAAAAGAACATCTGACATAAGTGCAATAAGCGCACAAGCAAGGAAGCGAATTTGTAAAGGCAGAATCGCCATTAAAAAAAAAACAATTTCCACCCTTTGCGCTATAGTGTAAACCGTCATTGTTTTTGAATTTACCACAAAATTAAACAAGTTAATCACGCCTACTTAATACATTTAAAACGGCTCTGCAAATCCATTTAAATCGAGTTTTGAAAACATAATGAACATTCCTTTCGAGCTATCTAACATTTACCACCCCTTCACATTTAAAATTTTTGGGGTACAATTCGCCCCCTTATGTAAGTAGTATTACTTAATTTAGGTGTCCCCCTCAAAACTAAAATTGACGTGTTCGAGCGTTTCTGGAAAAACTGTCGTTTTAAGTGGGCAAAATTGGCATTGACTGTTTTCAGTGAGCCACCCTGTATAAAAAATAAGTAGTTTTCCAATACTTTCCAAATCTGAAATAATAAATAATATGGTTCCATTACAAAAAATGTAAGTTTGATACCCCACTGGAATAGAAAAATTTTCGAACCATGGTGACTGTAATTGTAAACTTGATCCTAGATTTTTTTTCCGTAAAGGAATTATGATGTAGATGCCTGTGTATGTTAATAAATTATCCAAATCTATTTTCTTTTTTGATAAATAGCAACATATACTGACATTCTTTAAATTATTCCTTATTTAGTGGCACAAGTAGAAGGATTACTGAATAATGACACATTACCAAAGTTATTGCGATTTCCTCATCATTGTTGTTGATCACTCCAGTCCTTTTAAACAGGAAGCATGATTTTTACCTCGTTTTCAATAATGAATAGTATCAAGAATAAAATATAAGAACTACCTATTAGTAAAGTAATAAATCGATATGATTAGAGATGTGGACACACCATAATAATCAACCCTCTCAGCCACTGTACTTTGCCTAGAGAGTAAAATTAAAGGCCGCCCTCCACGTCCAGTTTTATTTAAGTTTTGGAATGACACACTTTCAGTTAAATCGAAACTCGCCCGTGAAGGAGAAGGGCTTCAATATGCCAAACGAACTAACTGCAACAACAGCAATATGTGAGCTTGTAGATGCGACCCAGTTCTCACTTCGCGATTGACACAGACTGACAAAGGTGGTGTTAGTACGATTAAAATGCGCAAAAGAGAGATAACTTTTGTCATTCCAACTGTAAATACTTGCAGTGGTTTGGGCGAACAAAATTATAAATGTAAGGAGTTATGATTGATATACCCATTTATTGAATCGCACATTTTCTTCCTTATCCCACGATCCATTCGAAAATAATGTTGATAGTCCTCAGAGGGTTCGTTTCATTCATCTCCTTTCAGAAATCAATGTGTGTGGATTCATTTATTTTCAAATACCACGGTTTTGACCAATACCTCTTTCTCTTTCTCCTTACTTGAGACTCGGTCTCCCTTTTCGTTGTCCAACAGCAATAAAAGAGCAATTGTTTTTCTCTTCTGATAGCACTATTGCACCTTGCCACTACTAAAAGGTACAGAATGAATCTGAAAAAATTAACAATCAAGTGCGAACGTGTAGATGCAATATGGATGCAATTATGGGAGGGAAGATAATATCTGCAAGTGGAGGGCGGCCTTTAGAGTTATTTCCTACGTGTTTCCGCCAAATCAGCCCCCTGGTGCCCGTCGGTGATGCACAAGGAAACTACAAACTGTAAACTGCTCCGGTGGGAAATAACGCCATCTATTGAAGAAAAGGTATCGCATTAGAAAGGACAAATATGTGCAGTATTTGAAAAGTGGCGGCATTTCCAATGCTTATGTACATTTGCGCAAAATTATCATATTTAAATACATTAATTACCTATTTCAATGTTTCATAGAGTAAACAACGTTACTCTGCTTGTTTTTATTCTAAACTATATTTAAATAAGATTCCTATCGAATTATACCTATTCTGTACAGAATAATTGTGCATATTATTACTCGAATGTGTCAAAGATGGCGCAGCATTTAACAATTGGAATGACTCACAAATCAATTATTTGCAAAAGGCTGATGTAATTTTAAAGGCAACTGACTGCATGCTCACAAAAAATGCCATTCGTTCAAAACGTTACTAGAATTGGTGACGTGCACGTACTAATAGCGAGTAAATCGCACGCGTATTATTGCAAAATACGTGGATATGAAACGGAAATAAACTTTCAAGTTCGAGCCGGTGGCGCCTGCGTTTGATGAACGCGGCAACGAGGTATATACGGAACGCGAGTGGTTTTACGTTAATATAGTGACACGTGCTGTCTACCGGTGGCTTCCGCATGTGTTAAATAATGAATTAAAGTTCGACTAAATGCCTTAAAAAAACATTCGCGATGAAACCGTCGAACAGTCAACTATCGAACGGCACTTCAAACAACATCCAAGAAGTCAGCGATGACAACGGAAAAGTTAAATTGCAACGTAAGATCACCCTACTGAATGGAGTCGCTATTATAATAGGAACAATTATCGGCAGCGGCATTTTCATATCGCCCACAGGAGTTTTTCGAAGTACGGAATCGGTCGGAGTATCTATTATCGTATGGTGTCTATCGGGACTATTTTCAACCCTCGGCGCGTTGTGCTACGCGGAATTGGGTACCTCGATTACACGCTCTGGAGGCGACTACGCGTACATTTACGTAGCGTTTGGACCACTTGCGGGATTCTTGAGGCTATGGGTAGCACTTCTTATTATAAGGCCGACGACGCAGACAATTGTTGCGCTCACGTTCGCACAGTATGCCGCTAAACCCTTTTTTCCTGTTTGCGACCCTCCAGAGTCCGCAGCGAGACTTCTTGCCGCGGCTTGTTTGTGTAAGTATGTCCATTTCATGACCATCTCTCCATGATTTAAATAACAACCGCACGACATATTAACATAACAATAAAAATAATTCACACGCGAAGAATGAACAAAACGATAAAGCGGTTTCCCGCTTCCTTAAATGAAAGAAATTTGTTTATTTATAAGTTTTTATGTGGTTTTAATTTTTGTGTTTGCGCGGTTGTATAAATTTACATACTTTTTACAATTATCCACAAAGTTGCAAGTCAATTGCCCCAGAATTCCCCGTTGAATTAAGACTATTGTTCGATGATATATAATATCAAATTTCCATTCACCAATTTCGTATAATCTCATTGTGTGTTCTTATGATACACGAAAACGTAAAAGTTGTAGGGGTGACGAGTCGTCTTAATAGATCTCAAAAAACACAGTGGCGTACCATACCTAAGGGGTACGGAAAAATTTTTTTTTAATAGAACACCCTGTAAGTATTTTATTTTACCTTCTAATGCCCATATTCTGCTGAAAAAATAATATTAAATAAATAAATAAAATAAAATATTTTTGAAATAAATAATATTATTTATATAATTTAAATAGAAAAAAATTAAATTAACAAAAAATACAAGAATTAAAGTACAACAAGAAACGAATTTCAATAAAACAACTAAATTTAGAACGTGTTTTAGATAACATCTTCCTCGGCATCTTGTCACCGTCGATTCTAACACCCTAGTCAGCACTTATGGAGTAATGCTTTCAGAACTAACTTCCACAATTCTTCTTCTTTTGCTGATGATTCCTAATAATAACCCCGAGATAAATCCCCTACAAAGAAATCAAGCGGGATTATACCGGGTGAACGTACTGGCCAGGGTGTCGGAATTCATGCTAATCACTTTTTCTGGAAATCTCAGTGAAAGATATTCCCGAAGGGTTCTAGAATTAAGGGTAGGTGCACCACCCTGCTGTATCCAACAGTTGCGAAGGAGAGAAATAAGATTACTACATCATAATGGAAAGTTTTTTACGTCAGTGCAATGGGCACAGATAAGCAACTGAGTATTATTTTCACCAACCAACGTTCAGGTTCATTTATTTCATAATGTGTACACTTGAACTCAAACTGGGTTAATGGATCAAACTAGGTTACTGGGTCAAATTGGATCACTGAGTGAAATTGGGTCAAACTGGGTCACTGCGTCAAACTGAGCTACTGAAGAGAGTATGAAGTGACCCAGGGACCCAGTTTCACCCAACGACACAGATGACTCGGTGATCCTGTGGCTCCGTATGACTCAGTCCAACTGTGATTATTATAACGAGTGTCCCAAAATGCACGCAAGAAGAAATTTTAGTAGGAAACTAGTAGGAAATACAGATTTTTATTCGAGTTTTTAATTAATAATGGCGATTTTGTCATTGATCCACGGGTTTGCTGGCACACACTAACTCTTTTGATGAAATTTTTCATATCCGTTTGATATATGGTGTGTCATATGAAATGTGGCTCCTTCTTGTTGAAACGACACTTCATCTACATCAAGATCTATTTCCGTATCTGGTAATTTAGGTACCAAAAACTCGATTATCGTATCGAGCACAATTAACCGTTATTGCTTGACGATCCGCATTTTCGAAAAAGAATTGTGCAATAATGCCGTGGATCTGGATTCTCTGAACCTCAAATGCGACACGACAATGGTGTTCCAATTCCGATGTCCTGCTAGAAATCCGTAGGAATATTGGGAAATGTTTTTCCCAGAGACTTTGACAATGCGTTGCCGTTTTGATCTATTTGAAATAGAAAAGTCACAACCGCGTAATATAAAAAATGGTATAATTCGTTTTTGCCTCGGTTTTTGCCAACCTATTTTTGAATATATCACAAAAACACAACAAATAGAAGGTAGGAGGTATTTAGGTAATTACACCTCGCATTATGCATTAGATTCTCGATTAGATTATGTTTTTAGTTTTTTTCCACACTGCACCGTTTTTGTCGGTTTTTGAGTTTTAGATTTTTCAAAGGAGGCAAGGATTTTTTTGGAATTTTTAATGCTCTGAACGGTGCAAAAATTGTTATATGTATGTTAAAAACTTTGAAAAGGCACAACTTCGAGTTAGAACTCGAAAACCATGCAGTACTTATTGGGAAAAAATAAACTTCGATTCTTTATCTTTTTTCGATATTTTTAATGTTAAATATATTAGTTATACTTGAAAGGCTGGTTGCGTTGAAATCTTATAATTAAATTCAGTTTTCTGTATCGATTTCGGATAGTTATATCCATCATCAGACCTTAGCTATAAGTAACAATCGATAACCTACGGAAAACTCAATTTACTCGTCAATTTAATTACGCAACCAGCCTATCAATATAAAACTTATAATTCCATGGAGCAATTCATCGCTAAAATATTGGTTTACTTTTTACTTGACTTTGCAGATAGCGTCGATATGTTAACCTCGATGTTAACTATACAGGGTATAACGTACCTATTGTGTACCTATGTATCAAAAAAGTGGGCGGTAGAAGACTAAAACAAGCACTTTGTCATAGTAAACCGAATGTCTAAAATGTTTCGTAGGGAACCTACTCCTCCCACTCCTCCAAAATTTACATTTCTTCTTTAATTTTTTTCTCATATAGAAGCATTGAACTTGCGGCTTTGCTAAGGTTTTTCGGTACCTATATCTTTTTTGTTCTTTGTAAAATATTTCCAAAATTCCTACCCCAGAATGGTTCACGGGGTCGCGAAAATTCCAATCTCGACCAAATTTGAAAACATTCCAGGTGCAATTTTTCCTCGGAGCTCAAAAATTGTCAAAGCTTCATGCAACCATGTGCACTATTTATGTGTTTAAGAACAGTATTTTAAACCTTACTTACCACCCCAATCCCGCGTTCAGAGGGGTGTAGTGGTGTGACTCCATCATAGAAGAAGTGGTTGTAGTCGACAATTCATTATTAATTCCTTTTGGCTTGTGCTCTGGGACAAAACTGAACATTTTTGAAGATAGAAACGCCACAGTGAATGTATGGCATGAAGCTTGTACTTATGAATGATTTTGATAAGATATTATAATAGGATAAAACGACAAATATACACTTGTTGCACGGTGGTAAGTGATCGACTGCGTCGGGCTATTAGTAAAAATTTAAAAATGAAATTCATACCGACGTATAATTTAGAAATATTATGTTAGAGCGGTGCGGTAAAAAATCCGATCGGAAAAAAACGCAAGTGTGTTTCCGCCCTAAAGGGATATAAACTTGGATATAAGTAGGTATTTATGCTTTGACATAGGTAATTTATTCAATGCCTCAATCAATTACATATACCAAGACATAAACATGATACTTTGTTGTTTATACAGATAATTGCGATGAGAATTGAAATCGCATGCCGTTGTTATTGTAACCTAATCATTAACTGGTAATAATATTAATATGATCAATGTTTATCAATATTCCTGTAGTAGTAAATGAAATTACGAAACAAAAGATATAGGTAATCTACTTATTTATCCATTAAGATAAGATGAATGAAGAGCAACAATATTTATTAAAGTAAGTACCTTTTTATCTATTGTATTGCGTACTTATCACTCTCATTCCTCTTAATTGAATTCGATGTTGTTTTACACACATCTCAACTGTTATCATCTATATCGACATTTTTCGGTTAGTATAACTAGCTAATCGTATATTAAAATCTCTCTGAAATCACATGAAATCGGGGTGAAACTGCATTCAATTTAATTAATTTCAAATACACTTCCTAGGTAATGAGCTACAATAATTCAAAACTTTAAATTGATACCTCGATTGATACTTATGTATCTCTTAACTCTCGTCTTAACAATTAAACTGCAAATTGAACAACCTTCAAAATTCTTTCTAGCGTATATTTTCCACGAAAAATACCGTTAAATCTCCGTCTTACTGGGAGTTTGGGATTTCAGCACATAGACATATATTTGTTTTTAGTGCACTTTCACTTTCAAAAAATAAAAAGTGCACTTTTTCGCTCGTGATGTCTGTCTGTCTGTCTGAGTCACAAAGGCTCCGGAACTACACTACTTACAGACTTGGTATTGGTGGCATTCTATCAGAAATTAAAAACTATTTCATGTTTGTATTCTCGTTAAGGTATGGTATGTCCTCGGGTATGTCCATAAGGGCTATTAAAATCGAAAAACAAATTTGAGATGTAGTCTTGCTCGCAAGCTGCTTGACGAACTTGGAATAAAAGCAAATCTAACACCAGGTACAAAATTTGCTTTGCACATGCTATAGCCATACACAGGAGCTCGTTTTCTATATTTGCGAATCTTTACACATTTAGTCTTACTTAAGAAGCGAAAGCCTTTAGCCTGAAAATAATCCTCTACATTGCCAGCCTAGTTTATATGTAATGTATAACATCGTGTATAACTAAAAAACCAAACGGTTTATGCATATGGTGACATATCAATTGCACTCCACATTTTGCGTAGATTTAAAAAATGCATAAACTAAAAACCCAATTCCGATTTCTATAGTAGCAAAAAAAGTATTTACGCCATTAAGCCACGGCATTGATAAGCTATAAACAGATGACAAGCATCCTTTGAGCCAGGAACGACAGTAATTTTTGGTTCCATTCCACAAATTCTAAATAGGTAGAGGGTGATCTAGTTGTCCAAGGTTAAACGATTCAAGTGGTAGATTTAGACGCCGTATAAATAAGGTAAATTATAAATTTTTGTAATTGACTTCAGTAAGGACCGTTTTACTTTAAGGATTTCATTCAGTTGGAATTTTCACATTGATACAGTACTTATCCTTTAAAAATTTGGTCTAATTAACCTGATTTTTATAAAACAAATTTTCCACTGTGACCTACATTCGTGCATAAGCTCGGTTAGAAGAAGGTTCCTGAAATCCTTTTGAAATCGTGAGATCAGTATTCATCGTCTTGTAGTGGGAATTACCCTAGTAATTACCCCTCGCTAATTTCACTTCACACATTATACTAAATATAGCCCCAGCCAAACCTGAATATTTTACTTGCTTACTGGAACCTATGTAAATGGTTAACGACAAATTATGAACAATATCCCAATAGTATGTAACTCGGTATGTAACTTAAGATAGTGATCAAAGAATGGCTTTATGCTCAACCAATAACCTATGATTTCAAATAGGCGAAATTCGTCACATGATCGGTTGTCTGTTGATGAAAATTGCGAGGAAAATTGTATGATTTCGCCCACAAAGTTGTCTTCGTTCGAAAGTAACATAGTGTATCTTCGATTCTAAAAGAGTTCTCTTGTTTCAGGTCTGCTGACTGCAATAAACTGCTTGAGTGTACGATGGGCGATGAGAATACAGAGCGTTTTTACATTCGCCAAACTATTCGCTCTTGTGGGAATTATTTTGATTGGAATATATTATATGGGCGCAGGTAAGTGCGATCTTTTAGTACCTTATATGTTCAAAACAACATTTTTTTAAGAAGTTTTTTATGGTGTCCAAAATTATAAAAAGTTTGCTACCAATCTACATATTGTAAATTTGTGGTCAGTGACTTCTGCATAGTCAAAGGGGGCATATTTATTTTTAAATAGCAACACCATTAGTTTTCATTACCTAATCTTCAAGAGCGCACTATATAAAAGCATAAAACACTTATTATACTGCATAATCAAATTTAACAGAAAAACTCAAATTAAGGAAAATGGTTGAATCTCGGGTTGAATTAATTAATTCCATAATTTTAGTAGTTTGATATGTTTTTTTATGTCGTCATATTTAAAAAAAGTTTATTCTTTAATAATACCTCTATACTAGTGAAATTATTGATTAATTAACACAATCATTTCCCTTAATTTTGTTTTTTCTCTTATATTTGATTGTGTCAGTTTTTTATGCTGCTATCCCCAATAAAGTGTACTATTTAAGAATATGTAATGAAAAGTAGCGTTTGACATTAAAAAAAATAAGGCCCCCTTGGCCATGTACAAGTATAGGCCACTGATCACAAAATCAAAGTACTTAGATTGGTAGGAAACTTTTTATAATTTTGGATACCGTAAACCGTTAATTCAGTGATCCAGACCAAATTTTCACCCTGTTTACAATGCTTACAATATGTAATGGACACGCGGCCAACTAGCCATAAACCTTCAAAAGCATTACTTTTGTGCCAGTGCTAGTTTTGTTAACTCACCCTGCTGTTGGGAAAGCGATTGTACTTAGATTCACTCTATTATTTATCATTCATACCTAAATTGTGATTAAATTATATTAAATTACTAAATTAGTTTCTCAACAATCTTCGATAATCGGATGGAATTTTAATACCTATAATATTGGAAAAAGTTTCCAGATACATACTTTTCAAATTTCGATAGTGAAAGGATTCATGAGCAAGTTATCCATGAACCACATTTACAAACATCAGATTTTTTATTACTGTTAGATACCTTACATGTGTATTAAGAAAAGGTCGCTTTCAATATCTGCAAGTGAATGCTGTCGGTAGCACTATTTCATTGTATCCTCGATTGTATCTTTATTACCGTTTCATGATCAAAGTAATTATCTAATTAGGTTTCCCGCTGAGACTGAGACAGAACATCTGCTGTGCATCTACGAATTTAACAGATCGTTAAGCTAACCATTTCATACTTACGTTACTAAGGGTAAGGAAATGGCCCAACACGAGAATAAATGTATAGCAAATCTTGTCTTCCCATCCATGCTTTACCGAAGTGGATCTCACAAATTAAATAAAGTGAATAATTCAGTGATGCACATAAATCCAAAGATTTTTATGAAGACTGAAAATGTGTTGAAATGAGATTTTCGCTGTGTACTATTCTGCCTTAATTCTGAACAAGTATCCATATACTCGAAGGTCTCTAGCAAAATCAATGAGTGAAAACTAAATCTTATTGAAAAATGCTATCTACTAACTGTGGATTCCACAATTAAATAAAAACTTATAAGAAAAGAATACTTTTCCACAATTGGAAATGTGAGAAAGGAAGAATATCTCTAAATCTTTAAATTCACTGGCGCAAATCGAATTTGACAGTTTCAAACCTTTTGTTCAGTAATAATAAAACAGTACTGGGTCATGAAAGAGATTGACTAAATGCTGAAAGGCTAAATGAGACCAACTTACTCAACGATTTCTGATAGAAAAGTTGTGCTTCTGTTTCGGAACTCGAATTCAAGACAAACTGGTCTATGCTCGAGTCTGTGCTTTTTCTATTTCTACCTTCTAATTGGTAGAAGCACGCGCTTCAAGGCCCACAAGTTTCGTAATTCGGCACTGTATAATCCCTATACCGTGGCCTCGTTTCTTTTCTAACGTTATAGCTAACAAAATTGGCCCCATTTAATATATATCCTTATTTTAACTGACAACACAATTTCAAAAGTCCAAAATTCCTTTTAAATTTTATACGATACAATTTTGCTCCATTCTGCCAATTTACAAAAATCGATGCCTTTAAGATTGTAACATTGGAAGTGTTTATGCTTTCGCGAGACGCTTATTCTTCAGAATAGTCATCGATTCAAACTAACTAGATTTCAAGATCGCTTAGGTCTCGGTTGTTAGTCTGCTCCATGACATCAGTATGAGTAATTCTGATAAAAATTTTAGTCACGTAACAGACATTAAGATTGTGCTATCGCCCGTCAGACTGGTGCTGATATAACTTTTTCGAATCAATTATCCGGTCACGACGCATCCGACTAGGTACAAATTTGCCGTGTAAGAGGATTTTTTCATAATTTTTTGGAAACTAATTAGGAGCGAAAAATTTAATTGAGACATGCTATATTAATATTGTAATCAAATAATATATCAACTTTTTTAATTAATTGACTACTATAATTGGTTGGAGGATTTTTTGTGGTTGCGATTGAAAATAAATTTTTGTTAAAACGCAAGATCGTTTAGATATATTCATCAATGTTTAAGGTCTACAGGTAATCAGAACTTTGAGACTAATTCCAAAAAATTCATGAGTGGGACAAATTTGATTGGGATACAGAAATGATTTTATAGTACTTAGTACCTACTCATGAGTTATAAACGTAAGGTTATGTCATAAGAATATAAATGGTGGTTACATTTTTATTTAAACTATGGAACAATTAACTAAACATTTTAGCGGTTACTTTGTGATTAGTAACTATACGGTGCCTGAAAAAAAATAATAATTGCGTAGTTATTTGATGGTTTAAAGAAAATAAACTGATAAGGTAAGTATAAAATTCGAGGGGAACTATTACTAAACATTACTGTATGTTTAACCTTGAAGCTATGGCATATTTCACACTTTTTCTGTAGATGGGTAAACAATTCGAATGTGTAGGAAAGGCTAATTTGTTTGGATAATTTTTAATAAACATTTCTGAAGTGTAATGTAAACGTTTTGCATCGGTTTATTATCGAATTTTTTTTTGTGCTTTTGGGATTAAAGTTTAGGGGGCGAGAGTACTGAATTTTAATGGATTAATCATTTCTGTAAAATCCATCAAATTTGATTGCTAGGCGGCAGTAAAAGTTACTTGAGTTCTAGTTTTGGTTAGCATTTTAGATGAGTTTGATTTCAGACGTCAAACACAATGGGTGACGCATATTTATCATTTATAGAAAAATGTATACCTATTGTTGGGAAAGCTCATCTAGCAATTTAGCAGAATCTAACAGTGTCACATTGTTTCGTAGCTCACAAATAAAGAAATCTAAGTAATATAACTTTACGATTACTGCCAACTTTTATCTAAGTGTGAACTGTGAAATTGCATTGATTGATGGCGAATTTTGTTACCATTTTTCTAAACCTCGTTTGTCTACGGCAGTCGTGAGAAGAATGCATCCGCAATCGGTACAAATTACCGAAGGCTATAAAACGAACGTTTTGTGGAGACCTTATTACAATTTTCATAAGTATATGATCAATGCCTTTACCTTGGTTTTTTAGATTTAATCCTCTACTACGTTGTTTTTGCATACTCAAACTTTGTCATGGGCATTCTATGCTTCTAAAGAATAGGTACCAAAAAAATGTGTTTCTATATAATTAAATTTTTAGAGGTAGTTATAATTGCTACAATGCAATAAATCTACCATAAACTCACCTTTCATTAAAAACCTACGTTCTCGAAGGTAATGTAAACAATCATCGCAACTGCCTATGTACGCGAACATTAAATCCATTTAAAAGGGTAATCACCAGAGACCTTCCTACCCCGAGCTAGCGCGAAGCGATCCTGGACCTCCGATTGAGCTAGAATTAAAACCTGTTGATGGCATACGGTCTATAAGATTTTTTAAATTTCCTCTAGGGGAGAGAGGGGAGGGTTTAGCGAAGATTACTCTACCAACTCCACTCACTATAAATACTTTCATGCTTCAGAGGGTTAAAAAAATAAAAATATTGTGGCGGTAAATTTGAATTTGTGGGGGAGATTTGAATTTTTAAATTTCAGGACGTCGGTCATGCTTCAGAGGGTTACAAAAATTACAGAAGAATAGGTAGATCGAAGTAAATAGTGGTCCGCCATGCTCTCCACTTTTTTATGACTTCACATGTGCTGCGCTGTGATTGGCTGCGTTATATTGTGGCGGTAAATTTGAATTTGTGCGGGAAATTTGAATTTTTAAATTTTAGAGGATGCCGGTCATTTTGTAGCGGAAGTTACTATTATTGACAACGACTTCAGGTTCGTGCTTCTGTTTATTAAATTCTGCTTACAAATTTGTTTTGATTTTTTCCTTGGTTGTTTGTACGTTTCGACCTACCTTTCGTACTTTTTACTTCCAGGATAGCTCGGATTAAAAGGGTTGAGAATAGGAAACAATCCATTTAATTTTTCTTTCACTGAAGTTACATAAATTATTCTAAACTAAACATATTTGTTATAGTTAAAAAATGAAACCAATCACTTTTTTACAGTTACTCCAAACACATAAAAACTTAATCTCTAACTACGCTCAAATAAATATCATCAATGGCCAGACAATTAATTTTATCTAATCAATTAATATAAGAAGGAAAACAAATGAATGCCATTTAATTATTTTTCATGTCACTCGTTCAACAGAAATGATCTCAACTTCATAGCCCCCATCATAAAAGCCGCCAAGTAAAAATATTGTTTCTCTTTAAATTTTCTAATATTGTACCTATATATACACTGTGTCCAAGATAAGGATGGATATTGTGGCAATCTCGGAAACCAAAGAAGATACGACGATGATCAAATTAGAGAATATGCGCAATTAAGTTATAATGCTTTAAAGAAAACCAGAAAATTCCGACTACTCTCGAAGATATTTTTGTCTGATGTTATTGAAACCGATACCGACAAAAAACACTTTCTCATTGCCACTATTGGAACATACTTACTGCATTGAGTAACCTTATTACCAATACAACGATGCACGAAAAAAAAATAAATGTTGGGAGAACAGAAAGGAAAGGACAAGGGGCACAGCGAGGAAACCGAAGGGTGGGATGTGAAACTTCTGTCAGGGGAGAAGAAAAGGAAGGAGTACCGAAAGGAGTAGTAAGAGATTAAAAGCAAAAAGGGGGAAGACATATCATACTGGAATAGGATCGGCGAAATTCTATGTACCTCGGAATGGAAGGTAGGCCGACCCTGCCACACATGGAACACCACCATAAACCAAACGGTAGAGGTCTCGGGGATTACCATGGGAAGATGGGAAGAGAAGAGTAGAGACAAACATCAAAGGAAGAAAGAAAGCAAAAAGAATACTAGAGGTGGAGGAAGAATCAGACACAAGGACAAGTAGCCAAGGGGAGGAGGAAAAGGGGACAGAAGGTAACGCAGGGGGAGGACAACAATAAAAAGGGCCTAACACGAGGAAAAACAGGGAAGGGAACGAGACCAAAGCATAGGAACATCGGAAGCCAATGAACGCCCGGAGAAGAAGCTATCACTAGAAAGCAGAGTTCCCTCTAAGGCAGAATACCAGTGGCGAAGCTGTGGCCGTACCCGTTCGGGTCGGATAACACCCAGTTAGCCGCCCCCCCCCCCACACCCCCCAATCCGCAAAATCCACCACATTGTTTTGCATATGTCGCGGCCCAGCGCGATGGCAACAAAGTAGTGGAGAAACGTCCCTGATAGTGACTACCAGGGACGCATCCCCACGACAGTTGACTAAATCCTGGGAGAGGCGGCGACGTCAGGCATATGTCAAAGTTTCAAGTTTCAAATTCTGGTGGATTCAACAGGATGGTGCCCCACTCCCACGCCCTAGTTGTGAGAATACCTCTCGGAAAATGGAAAATTTGTACCTATTCGTAATGCTATCCCGATACGTTGTATTGATGCCCAGACAGTGGCAATGAGAAAATGTTTTTTTGTATCTGTTCAAATATCATCAGGAAAAAATATAAAAACGAAATCGGCAAATTTCGGCTTGTCTGGCATATCTTTGGAAGAAATCGGAATTTACCGGCATTTAATTGCGCAACTTTTCTCTAATTTTACTATCGTCGTATCTTCTATGGAGAAGATGTAAACCATTTTGCCACATAAATAAGAGTTAGATCTGCGCATGCGCAAATCCATTTCATAGTAAGTCTACTAGATGCACTTTTATTGGGACGTTACCGTATATTCATAATACAAAGTCGGTCGGCCCAACGAAATGTTAAATTAAAAAAACTCAGCTTTCTGCGGGGTCCGAGAGCTTAGATCTCAAACCTTCTTTATCGCTTCATAAAATGAAAACCACCCCATCGAATGGAATTTACAAAGTGAACCTTTCGTTCCAAATTGACAATTGTATTTTTAAAAATTTATTCTTGTGACTGCTAAAGTGAATTTTTGACAAATTGTGAGTTCTCAAATAAAAGCCCTCTCCACTTTGATTTTATGATGCCCCATCTGGTTTTTTGTAATACCATGGAGTAAATACAATGTAATACCTACGTCCATTTATTCATTACAAAAATTATTAAGGAAAACTGTAGATTTTTGAGGTAATACAAAATAGATGTTGTATTCATTTTATAATTGCACTCAAAAATTGTTTAATTGAGGATTATACTAAGTATCGGCATCATAATCCAGTATTGGTTATATACTTATATAAATATTATAGTTGTACAATACCAGTACAAACAAAGGCAGGTTACCAGCTAAGAGGTTCTCATATACCACTCAGATGCGACGCGTGACTTCAGTTTAAGATCAAGGACCTTTCTCTTCATTAACATTTCTTTACAAAATATGCCAGACGATAAAGTAGTTTTACTGCGGAAGTATGTATAGTCACGTTGTGTATGAGAAAATTCCATTTCTGGAGGCCACAATTTATTAAGCGCTAAGCATCTCGGTTTAATATATAGTCTTTGGTTTAATTAAAATACGGGAGCTTTATCTACTCAAATAATCCATACTGAACTGACACACATTTCTTTTGCAGGAGAAGTGAAAAACTTTGATAACGCATTCGAAGGAAAATTTGGACCGATTGACTTGGCCCTCGCGTTTTATTCTGGATTATTTGCGTTCGGAGGCTGGAATTACCTCAATTTTGTAACCGAGGAGTTACAAGATCCATACAAGTATGTATTTGCATTGAACTAATTTACTTGTTGATTTGATTAATACGTCTCATTAGGTTTCCATTCAGGTTTATATAAATTCAAGTGCTAAATTGATTTTCTCGGTTACCTAAGAAACCTTATATATCTTGTGTAATAAATTGCTTTCGATGTTTAATGAATGAAGTCCTTCTGAATAAAAGATGCCCCATTAAACTGGGAAACTAAAACGTTTTTATTGTTTCTTTCTCCGAGAGCTTTTAAGCTTTCTGCACGTTTACCGTGATCTTTTCTGAATTGTTCCAATTCTCTATAGAAAAGAGTCGCGTAGGATTGTTATTAGGAATTGGTTGTGAATCTTCGACTGTGATGAAACTGAGGCACTACCTACTAAACATCAATTGCTTTTAAAAAGTGTTAGTAATTATGTATTGTATATGTTTATTGCAAGTATAACATGCCAGGCAGTCAATCAATAGTGATAATGCCATCAATAAATAGATCTAATAGTTCCAGCGAATGTTAAACGAATAGTTTCCTTGACAAGTGCGGCCTCTAGATAGGGCTTCTTAATTAAACCACTAACTTCTTAATTTTATTATGAAGGTTTTCAGAAGGAGCTTAACAAAGCCAAATCGAGACATCATAATCCAATAAATTAACGAATTGAATCTTATATTTTCGATAAAATTTAACTGTAAAGTTACTGAACCTTTCCTAAAATTGGGATAGTGTGGCTAAACTCAGCTCTGACCATGTACTTTTTTTTCAATTTCTCTACAAGTTGTATGCTAGCTATAGAGGTTTTTATAGTTGGTTTTAATTCCACCATTGTATTCGCACAGACAGCTTGACATTATAATTAAATGTAATTTACTCTTAGTTAAACACGCTCGGATTCGAGTCTAAGCTTCTTACTTCTTGGTTTATTAACACAATGATTAAGCATTCTTTTATGCAAATAGTTTGATCACAGCTAGTGTCAATGAATCAGTCAAGCTAAATATAGCTGCTTCCAGTTCAGTACTTTTATCATTTTCCACCATGAAAAAAATGTTAAATATTGTATAAGTATCCAATTCAAGATACCTATACTGCCGTTAATTAATTACCAAATTTTTTTATTGTAGGAATCTTCCTAGAGCAATCTGGATAGCACTACCCACAGTTACCATAGTTTACGTACTTGCAAATGTAGCTTATTTTTCGATGCTATCAAAAAGTGAAATGCTGAGCTCGGCCGCTGTCGCAGTGGTAAGTTTCTTGCCCACAACTTACTTGTTTAGATCAAATTGTCTTTTCAGACTTTTGGCAGTAAAACTATAGGATCGTTATATTGGGTCGTTCCCATTTTCGTCGCGTTATCAACTTTCGGTGGAGTAAATGGAATATTATTTACGTCGGCTCGTCTCTTCCTAATTGGCGCGCAGGAGGGTCATCTACCGCAAGCCTTTTCGCTAATTCATATACGACGAATGACACCCATACCTTCATTGCTATTCACAGTAAGAAATCATTTCATCCTACAACAGTTTAATGAATTTTTTTAGTGCGCAGCGTCTCTACTGATGCTGTTCGTTAGTGACATATTCGAACTCATTAACTACTTCAGCCAGATTCTGTGGTTCTCTGTCGCTGCTAGTATTGCTGGAATGCTGTGGTTGAGATACAAGCAACCGAATCTACCAAGACCAATTAAAGTTAATTTAATTATTCCGATACTTTTTATCGTTTGTTGCCTATTTCTGGTTTTATTTCCTATTCCGTACAGTCCGAAGAATAGTCTGATTTGTTTAGCCATAACCCTTTCAGGTGAGTTATCAACAAAGTTCTCATTATTCCTTAACTGTTGCTGTTACAGGAATTCCAGTTTATTACGTCTTTATCAAGTGGGATATTAAACTTTTAAGAACTTGTGCTTACACAAACAGAATAACGGAATTTTTGCAGCGCGCTATGGAAGTAACCTTTTCCGAAGAAATGGAAGGAAAGTTATCTGATAAATGATATGCATCAGCTATGTTTGACCAGAGGGATCAAATTTATACATATACCAAACTGGTTTCATTAATGGGTAGCATATGTGAGGCTATGTTTTCGGCATTAAAACAGTATTTTTGTACTTGATCTTTGACATTATGTTAAGTGTTTTTACATGATTTTTACGCTTACCAATTTGGTTTAGTTTTACACATTGTACTTACTTCTAAGTTTAGTTAATAATTAATTTTATAAATGGTAGCCACAGTTTTGTAATATATTCTTAATGGTTGTGTCCATTGCTGTTTACCATTCACTCCTACTAGGGTTGTTTGAATGAATTAGAAATGGATAAAAACGGAGTTCAGGGTTTGATCAATTTTTTCTAATTAATATCAGAGAGATTAAGAGATCAACGAAAAAAATATTCGTATGCCGAGACTAGCATAGCCGACTCTAGAAATCGTCCACAAACTCCGCGGTTTGGTAATGTAAGACCAGCATGTAGTGCATTAGTTGGTTGACGGAAAGGGTACCAGGAATTGCACAAGAAAAAGCTTCGCACACGATGGGCGCCGCGCTTAGTGACGCCGGATCAAAAAAGTGTTCGGGCGCCAAAGTGAGAGAACCAATTGCGAAAGAGTTGAATGGCGTCGTTGAGGTATATGGACGACACCGGAATTCACCACTACACTCCAGAAACAAAGAAACAGTTAAAAGCAGTGGACAAAAAGAATTTTTGTTTAGCATGGAAACTTCTAAAGGCGACTCGACCGCTAGTCATTTTTGATTACTGTTTACATCAATTCAATCATAGGTATATCAGTTTGGCATCATTGCGGTATTGAACAAGGATATCGTTGTTGCATGAATTAGTATGAGAGGCATTTAGTCCATAAGATTCCATACTGCATCTGGAAGTGCGAACGCAATATAGTATAAAGTATTTTCGAAAATTTGACAAGTTTGAGAGGACTTGTGGTGTCAAAGGGACCAGAAAAGGAAATCTGCCTGCAATAGGCAGCAGAAAAATTTATTCCATACTGTATAATGTTCCTAGGGGTCTATCAAGCCGACACTGAAAACGTTGACTTACCCTATACCAGGCCCTATACTTACCGTTGGCAACTTTGCCAAAATTCTACAAGCAGAGCCACATACATTTCAAGTCGAAACGATGAACGTTTCGCGGCACATTTGAATTTGGATGGTAGTCGGCTCGATATGGATGGAACGAATGAACTCTTAGTTGTGAAATTGGTTCTTATATGTGTTGGGACGTGAGACATCATCGAGAAGGGAATTAAATAAAAGACAGAACTTTTGTGCGTAAGTAAAGACAAGAACAAATAAAGATATTACGCACACAACAAGACCGTGCCAGGGAAACCTTCTGAGGGACTAAAACCCTGGCATAGGCTACACAAATACATGAAATAAATCACCTACGGCCATAAAATGCAAGAGAAAATACACATAAATAAAACATCTCAAATTGTATGATAAAAATCAGATAATCAAATCAAATGCAATTATACAAGTTCATAAAAACAAAATACACAAGACATCATAAATGCAGTGGAAAACGATAAATCAATTCAGTACAAAAACACATCAAATTATCTGTACGATCAATTCGTAAAATAAATAAATTGCATGTACATAAGAAACATGTAAATGGTGTGGCTCTACTCCAGCCTTCCGTTAACATAATTTAATTTAACACGAAAAGTACATGTGAGAAGTCCAATGGCCAATAGCAAGTATTCATGTGAAAATTGATTATATCGCTCAAGCAGAACATATTTTAAATAGAGGAAATGTTAATGAGACGGCCCCCCACTGCATTGCTAAGATACTAAGAACTGCAATCCGCACGAGCCTAGTAGGCAACAGATACAGCGAAAGATCGAACTGTATTAGGTATACCTACTCCACGGAGACAGAAAGACCCACTCGCACACACAAACATCGAAACATCAAATAAGAGAGCCCCCCTTCGTATAGCTAACGCTAACAGATACAGCGAACAATCAAACTGTATTAGGTACTTCCCTCCCGGAATAGTAACGGATCAGTCGGACAGAGCAACATCGTGCTGATAACTCCTCGTAAATACAGAAATAAATACTTAATTAAACAAAACAATGGCACCTGTACAGTATAACAAACACAATTCATCTAACTGTACTCAAAACAAAGGCATATGGAGTACGCCATGATTCATTGATTCAGATATCGTAGTTTATGCAAAATTAGATAAATGTAAATAATATCAAATTATGGCAAGAAATTCAATGATTAAATAGCTAGTATCTACAAGAAAGAATACAATGGTAAATACACCTTCAAAACACCACCACCAAAATAATCAAGAATAAAAAACACGGGAACGGGTGATGTCTTCCGTCGACCTCGTCGCCATCTTCTTCATTCTCCCCCACAGAACAAAATATTACTGTTCTGTGTTTTCCCCTAGCTTCGTTACCAAAATCCCCTAGTATTCGGCATCTGCGCAAAACGGTCGATTGGTTATATACAGAGCATATCATATTTTTGTTTCAGATGTAAAGGTGTGTTGTCTAACCATAAGGGTGGATTATCACAATACAAACATTGGAGCGCTAATGTTCGTCATGGATGGAATAAGGTCTGATTTAGCTGCCAGTGTCAGTTTTGGTAGGCCGAAGAGAGCCCTTAGGTAGGTACTGTGACGAAGAACATTTAGAAGAAAGGGAAGAATCTAGCATTACGGCTCCAGCTGCTCTCGGTGGTATGCGGTGGTTCGACGAAACTGAAAAAAAACAAAATAAACAAATTCCTAACCTAAAAATCAAAATAAATATCGCAAAACTAAACTAAAAATGGACCTGTAACAGTACCTACATTGCAGGCCCACCAAGTTTGATATTAAATGATATAGGTAGTGTTTCCACCAACAAAAAAGATAAATGAATAAAACAACAAATTACTTAGACCTTCCCTATATAGATTGATTTAATAAAGTTGAAATTTAAATTTGGTTATACGGCGCAAAACAAAGCTACATGTTTCGATATACCTACACACTATTAACAATGTCATTTTCAGGCTCTTATAAAGCTATCGTTACAATCAAACATTAAAGTTGAATAGGATTACAATTTTGAATGCTGCAGTGGATCAGATGTTGGAGGACCTACTAAAGACTGGGAGACCGACATCAGGAGTAGTGATTTGCACCCATGCAGATGGAGCCATTACTTGCTTGAGTCAAAGACAAAGAATGACTGCTACTGCCCTACCATGGAGGCGAGTTGGTCGCCGCCAACGATGCAATTCAAGAGGTGATTTGGATCTCTTATTCTCTTTAGAAGTATGGGGGGGATTCAAGAGACACCATAGTGTATGTTGACAGACTGGCTACCGTTAGAGGCGTTAGACTGGCTCAGAACCCAGAATTTTATCCTCTCAAGTCAAAACAATTAACCAAGTAGGTACATAAAAATCAAGTACTTTTAATACGAGAAAATGAACTAGCAGGTAGCAGGTGAAATTCAAGTTGCTCTGGTAGCATCAAGTAAGCATATAGCAGATGTAATGACGAAGCATCTCCTTGGCCCCAGATTCCAGGATAGGTACGAATCTACTTGGACTATTTTCTTTAATCTTAAGAATAAAGGAAAGGAATCTTCCATTTTACATCAACAATTGGTAGGTAAGTACAGATAATTTACCTATCGTATTAGTGAAGCCATAATGTAACTTACACCAAAGAGTAACTAATAATTATTCTTTGCTTACACTATGGCAAAGAATAATAATTACTCTTTGACTGTGGTGAGGTGATCGTTGAGTACGCCTTCGTGTATAGGCAACCCACCTCACTGTCATTTTCAATTTCAAATTAACCTGCATTATATGCAACTTTATATACGTCTGGTTTTCCCCAATATTGATCCTTGAAGCACGTCAGGTCGGGTCGGATAATGGGAATTTAATGACTCATGCGCTACAAAGAATGGAACACGTGATGAAATAGATGTAAACAGTGTTCATTGTTGTTTTGCTTTTTAATTATTTTGCAAATATACCGGATCTAAGAGGTTATTTTAGCAAATTGCTAAGCTAATTAGCTTGTGTTACATCTAGGTACTACAATAAATTCATTATCTGATAAAAATGTTAAGTAGCACTGCAAGTAAGTAAAAACGTTTTATTTTGACATATCTATAATTATTATTAAAGGTGATCCCAGTACCAGCAAAGATAAAATAACACCAGTCTTCGAAATAACCTCAGCCCAGATAGCACTAACCGAAGGAAGCGATAAGAAATATGTGCTATACACACTTCAAATAAGACATGTCGGCGGCATTGACGATTCGAAACCTGCGATACTAGAACGTAGATATACAGATTTTTATAACTTATACACAGCACTGAAAAAGGACTATCCTAACGAAATGACCGCAGTCGCTTTTCCTAAAAAAGTATTAACCGGTAATTTTGATAACAATTTGATATCTTTAAGAAGTACAGGATTTGAATCTTTATTAAGACATGTGTTAATCGATTCCAAATTAAGAGCATCACCGGCTCTTCTCAGTTTCTTACAAGACGTAGACTTACAGAAAATAAAGGAACTATTACAAATTAAAGACTATGCTGCGGCTGCTCCCTTACTTGAAAACAACTTTCGTTTACTAAATAAGGTAGGAGGGTGCCATCACATTAGTTTTTGATCAATTCTGTTTTAGGTGTACACAGATCGTTCGCCAAGGGTTTTACTGGCTCTCTGTCGATTGTTAGGTTGCCTAATTTTGGTGCCGGGATCACCCCAAGCGCAAAAGTGGGCCGATATTGCCTTGCATCGTTACGAAGGTGTTTGTGATAGTGACTTGCTCGAATTATATTTACCTTTATTGCATGTTTGTGCCAAAATATGGTGGCAAACTGGTAGAAATGGAACTTTTCTTGAATCAAGATTGCAGTCGTTAAAACAACAGGGTATCAAATTTAATGAAGGCACTTCGCTGTTAGATGCAGTGGATTCTTTAGAAAAAAGACTCAGTGTTTCATAGTAAATATTGACTTTAACTGTGTGGGTTCTAATCGAGCAAACATTGTTTAGAATACATACGGTTGCAGATTATAACCTTGATACTATGTGATACAGGTGTTCATTACTTCAAATGTAACCCATGCTTGATTTCTCTATAGTCTGATACCTATTGCTAGTTCTTATATTACAATAATCAAACTGCACTGACAATGCAATCCTCATTACTTGGTATTTAATTAAAAAAATTAGATAAGCTAGTGTTATCATCAAAGAAGAAACATGTGAATTAAGGTTAACGTTCTATTTTATTAATGTGATCATTTATTCCAAATAAAATTTGTTTAGTTTATTTGGTAGGTACATTTCTGTTTTCCAACAGCCACTGGCTCTTTTGTACATAAGGTAGGCAACACACAATGCTTCAAACTTTTGAAACTCGCCACAGCCATTGAATAATAATTATTCAATGCCACAGCCTTAAAATTAACATGAAGAAATTGAAAAGCATTATATTTCCTGTCACGAGCATTTTTAATTTGAAACGTTGGAGATTTTGTTTAAAAGTAAATATTTTCCATTTTGCATATTTCAAGCAATACGAGTATAGGTACCTACCACATTTTTTGTAAACAATTTTCTATGGCGCAAAATACGGCAAACGTTGCTCTAAAAAAATGAAAAAGATAAGCATCGAAACACCTGTGGCCAATGCGACTCGCGCAGTACACTGCAACGATAGAATATTTATAGGGTGCGATACTAACAAGCACTATCCTATAGATGCCTTTATCCTGTATCTCTTTAAGTGCAGTTAGAGTAGATAATAAAGATACAAGAAATTTAATTACGACCTAACTAACCCAAGGTTATTTTATTTCAAAGGTTACCTGGCAACTATGAGGGCGGAAGCGGGAGGGACGGAATGTATATGTCATCGAGAATTCAGACATTGACGTTCAACGTTGTTTGTAGTCGCGCGGGTGCTTATAGTTATAGTAGTTATAGCACAGATATACGTATATCTGTGGTTATAGTTTATTTGTTTAAAATTTGCTGAATTTTGAAGTGCATAAGGACATATATTAGCTGTAGATACCTGTTTGGTGCAATATAAAGACATTTAGTTTGTGAATTTTGTGGGTTTTCATAGCCGTGATTGAAAGGTTAGTTCATCAATTATATGCACTTGTGTATGTTATAATTAAGTATTTTTTTAGATGAGTGGCGGTAACACTAAAATTACTCGCATCCTGGTGTAAATAAAATCTCGGTTTTTACGTTTCCCAAAGACTACCGTTCTTAAAGAACGGGTAAGAACATGTTTCACATCCGGCAGCAGACTAAAACGTGCTGCGCCCTCATTGGTCAAAACGGCCAACCGATGAAAGCGTAGCGTCCCTGGCCGCAAACGTTTAAAAGCAGAGCCACGAACTCTTGAAAGTGCAACGCAATTTCTGCTGCGACTGCACTTCAAGAAACAAAAAGCTCTCCACCTGCAGAACCAGGTCGCCTTGCCAGCTCGACCTCGCGCCGCACTCCATCAGTCAGAAGACCTGCATCTGGGTTCACCCCAACGACAGAGCTCGCCGTGTGCACCTCGGTTACCATTTTGTACATACTATAAATATACATATTCCCTAAAACGCAACAGAATTTTATTTGGCGTCATCCGCTAAAGATTGTTTAGAGTTTTAATTCCCAAAGCCTAGGTATTGATACATAGGTGTGGTTCCTATTTTGTAGATCGCGGAATTTTATCCATTTCCATCTCTAAAATTAATTTGATTACATTTTCATAAGTCCTCGTGAAATGTAAAGTAGCTTACGCACCACACTCATTTTTTCAATACTTTGATTGCTTTCAAAGGTGGAAGTCGATAAACTTCCAAGATTTCCAATATAAGATCCACCCTTATATACATATACCCATATAAATCCAAAAATATACTGCAAAAACTAAATTGTTTACCCCTTTTATTAGCATTGTAACCTATGAGCAATTTTAAATGTGAATTCTGGATGACGTTTTCCCGCCTTCAAAATGCAAATATTCTATTGGTTTAGAGTTACCAGACAACCTTTCTAATAAAACAACCTTGTAACTAACCAACCAAAATTGTAATAGTCCCCGAAGCACAGAAAATGATGACTTACCCTATACTTAGGTACAGTTGGCAACTCTGGGTAAAAACTGTGCGCAGATCCAAGGTTAGTAAAGAGAGTACTAACCTTGGAGCAGAGCCACCTCAAGTCAAAAGAAAGGACGTTTTGCGGCACTTTTGAATCTCGGTAGCAGTCGGTTCGATATGTGTGGCGTGGCACTGGCACGAATGAACTCCTACGTTGTGTAATCAGTTCTTTTATGTGCCGGGACGTGAGACATAATCGGGAAGCTAATAGAATAACATCATTGAATAAAAAACACTATTTTTATTCAATGATAACATGCAGAATTTTGTGCGTAAGAAAAGACAAGAACAAATAAGTATATTACGCACACAACAAGTCGATGCCAGGAGAAAAACAATCTACATGAAATAAATCAACAACAACATGCAAAAGAGAACCTACACAAATAAAACACCTCAAATTGTACCATAAAAATGGAGGTAATCGAATCGAATGCAGTTGAACAAATTCATAAAAATGAAACACAGAAGACATCATAAATCCAAGTAGAAAACATAATAAACATTTAGTACACAACGACCCATTAACAGACATGAATGATCAATTGGATAAAACAATTCGTAAAATGATAAATTGCCTGTACATAAAAAACATCAAAAGAGCCTGCTCTACTCCAGCCTCGGTTACCATAAATTAAGATGAAAGAAGTATAGTGAAAATGCCAATAATTATTAATATTCACGTTAAACAGTCCATCGTGGTTAATTACTGGGCCCCTTCTTGTATAGCTTACGCACTGCACTGCACCCCTCCTCTTCGTATAACTTACGGACCGTCCGGCAGCGGGCCACGGGAAAGAAAGCAACAGATAGAGTGAACAATCGGACTGTATTAATATCACAAAAATATCCCAAGACAAAAAAGAGTCGTAAATTTATAAGGTTAATTGGATTTTTGATGAATTTCCTGAGACAAAGCGATGAACTTGCTACGTTTATCCTTTACTGAGATTATGCAAAATGGCATTAGGGCTCGTGTTTCAAATTGCGCACGCCTATGGCCTACTTACACTCGTACAACTTTGAGAATGGAGAACGGTACGCAAAGAAACTGGTCGTACATCTGTCTGCACGTATCATTGTATTGACGCTACACGTTGCTATTTTTTTAAATATCAAATATGTGTATACTTGTTACAGTGATATAATACCACATATGTATCAAGTTCGTATTAACGTTAAACCAAATAAATTCAATTGAATATTCACTCAATAACGACAATACTTTATAAACAGCAATATTTAGGTACTTACAACGCTTCCTAGTATTCAAATTGTAAATACAATCATGCATCCATAACGTTTTCTTCTCTAAAGTGTGTTATACTGCAGTACGCTGTAAATCACAATGTAATTGAAAATCACTGGAAAAAATTATAGATCTTCCTATCAAAAGAGTAAATTTGGAGCGCGTGTTTCGCTATTGTACGATAGATGGCGTCACTTATTCGAGATACATAAATTTTCAAATAATATGCTACAGAAATAGTTAGAATACAAAACCACAGATGCATTAGAAATTGCAAGTAATAAAACCAAACCCCTAAACTTGTTCCACCGACGCGACGCTTAGCACATGAAAAATTCAACTAGGTACGTCTACCTGTTATAGAAATATACATGATTCCTTCCCAACTACATCCAACACTGCATGCATAGAAGACCTCAAAAATGTACTCATGCAATCTTCAAGGCAATATTTATACTTACCATTTGGTCTTCTAAGATATACATACCATTTTTTTAATTAAACAATGGTATTATCTATCGGACAAGTTGAACTGAAAGATGAATAATTGGCTCTACGTCTGTATTGGTCTTAACATTCAGTAATGCCATTGAATACATCCGATTCAATGGTAATGCTAATGGTCTTACAAATCGGCGTTTGTAGAAGCGCATCTTTTATAGAAACCATACATATTTTGGTACCTAGGTAGATAAATATGAATATTATCCGACACGCAGACTTTTACTTTGCATAAGAGACCCCACTAAATTGTTTTGCTAATACATCACAACACTGATTTCCTGTGAAATGTTGAATTTTCCTAAGTTCCTGCTCCTATATACCTACTCGTTAGTAGGTAGTTGATAAGTGGCGTGAGAGAAGGTTATGCTATCAACGCATTTCTATGAACTTTGAAAGAGGCTGTATTAGTTCAGTTTTGTCCATCTTCGCCGTCTTCTTCATTTGTAAATGCACCGAGATACAGTTTTTTGCACGTGATTCTATAGTTTGTGAAGGTTCGCCGGTTAGGGCTCTCTGATGTATTGGTTGAATGGGAAGCCGATGGAGGAAGGAAAATCAGCTTTCTTATTATTTCCTGATGTATACCTACCTAATTAATTCAATGCATTATTCCCACACTTCGTCCGTTGCTTGTAACCTTGTTGCAGATGTCTACATCCAATCCGTCATCCACAAGCATGTATTGTGGTGGATATGGCAGAAATCACGGTAGACATCGGCGATAAGAAACTAAAGCGGATCCGGATGTAACGCATTCTTTCCGGGAAATATGACGTGTTTGTTCTGAATGCCTATACAAAATTGGTGGTTATGTTTTCATGAACTATAGAAGGATAAAATATACAAGGTTCCAAATCGAGTGGAATACATCACTAAGTTTCGTATGACTGAAGACAGAGCTGAACTTGAATGTAAAAGTTTTGCAATTTCGTGTATTCACTAAAATGTTTTTCCAAAAATTTCAAAACTTGGCCGCGGTTAGATAATCGCCGATTTAATCATCAAAAAACGCTCTTATTTAGCTATAACAATAGTTTAACATAAAGGGCCTTGTTTTGATAGGACAATGTCCATTAACGACGAACCTTATGGTTGGTTATTAAATTAACTGATTAGAGGTATTCCTTTTTAGCGCGTTTTGATTCTGAAATTACGGTTTCACCAAATGTCGGTGGTTCGGGCGCCTTTTAAACTTTGTATAAGTCAATCGAGATCTCAGCAATGGAATATCGTAGAACTTTCGGCACTATATTCGTACTATCGTGTTATTTCTGCATCGCCTAGTCTAATAGCTACCGATGCGTCAAGTCACACACAACGGCCGTTTGGCTGTACGTTTGGGCGTCTCTGATAAATCGATCGATACCTAGAAAAGGAATGCAGTACATAGAGCCTTGGGTTTCTAGC